GGCCACAGGGTGGGGCAGAGAGAAGGGAGGGTGGCAGGCAATGAATGGGACAAAGGGAGAGCAAAGGGGGGCTTATACGACACCCTAAAAGTTATGTGCCGTGGATTGTCTGTTCACTCAACTACTTGGCTTTCTCCCTCCTCCCCCACCTCTGACTCACTCTCTCTTACTCACTCTTATTTCACCCCTCTTTGTCTTTCTGTCTTCATTTTTTTCCAGCCGAATGAAAAGAAATGTGTGACAGGTTCTGGCCACCAATTCAACCCGACCACACATGCACTCTCACAAAAACAGAAATTGATGGAACAAAGGGTAGAAGCTGTTGGGAAGAGCTCTTCAGTGTCTAATCAGAAATAGAAACAACAGACTGACATATAAAGCAGATATATTAGACTCAGAAAAACAGAAAAATATTAAATGTATTTCTATGTGGAACATACAAGCCACATAAAATGTCCAACATATGGGATTTAGTGTCATTTTTCATGTACCCTCTTTGAGGGATGGTAGACAACAAGCATTTACTATAGTGAGAATTAAAAGAAGTTAAGTATCCTCACTATAAATTAATCTAAATATAGAGCCTGCTCAATACACTGGTTTAAAACAAATAATCATCAATTCACAAAGCTCTACATAATAAAAACTCTGCAAAATTCACTCACTATCTCTAAAGACTGTGTGAGTAATTACCTGCTGCATCTTTCTCAACAGATCACATGATTTGAACATAACAGAATTTGTGGAAGCAAGGGTCAGTTTGTCTGCATATTCTGTCACAGCAAATGATAATTAAAAAAAGAGTGCACCACTATGACACTTAACTTCTCAGCAAAATGCTGGTGGGCACTATTTAAAAGTGCCTTTGTGTTATGAAATGCTATTAAAAATACAATATCTTTAGTGTTAGGTACTAATATTCAAATGTCTTAACTTCCTTCATTTCTTTTTTACGACTTTTGTAACATGAAATATATTTGGGGATGTGAAAAGTGAGAATAAAGACTAAAGTGTGCTTTTATTTAATGGCACTTGAAGAGTTTTGTACACAAAATCAAGCATGTTTCTGTTGGTATTCCATAAAATAATACATGCCAAAGTGTATGATTTTAATTTGTCTACTCTTATACTTATAATCACCAATATGTGCATTTTGTTAATGATCATAGCAACATGGCAAAACAGCATTTCGCCTAACTGTACATCTACAACCGTCATGCTGCAGGAGCACATGCACACTTTTATTATAGCAGCAAATAGATTGTAGTCAAGGCTCTGGTGAGACTGTAGGACTCTGGGGTGTTCACTATTTTGGCTCCACAACAGATTTATGGTGGAGATGAAGAGGAGTGGGAAGGACTAAAAGAGGCTATGTTACAAAACAATTTTCATTCATTACCATGAGAACCGCTGGGCCGACTACGTCAGAACGCTTCAGCTGATCTGTTTTTGACTTCTTTTGGAAGAGGATGTGATTTATTGAGATGAGATTGTCACTGACTGTCTACTTTCAATCCGTGTCAGCTACATTCCTGAAGACAAGAGGAATTAAGGCATTTAGAGGCCTTCTACACAGCTCCTGTTACAGCTGTAATGTTCTTATGACAATGTTTTGGCTCATTTACTAAACACTGATACATTTACTAGCATCTAAAAACACTATATAACTTTATGACCTGACAAAATGGCAAAAGGATTGACAGACTGACAAATTTAATTGATCATTAAATATTGCCAGTTAAAAACTAAACATGTGATGTAGTAACATATGTAAACCTGCATACATTTTCTTAAATGGTGCATTAACTAAGAATTTATACATTGTCTAATAAATGTATCAATGAAATAAATGAATAAAGTGAAAATCTGGCAGGGTGTGGCTTCTCTCCACTATACTACCGTGACACTTCTGATGTTATTCCAGTTTTTCTACCCCTTGTTTGTCAAATGCGCCCTATAAATTAGCCCCACTTACCACTATAGCAAAGTGGTTTTAAAAACTCAAGTAGTCATAAATACAGAAAGTATATTTATTCTTTTTGATATTAAACTTAACAATTTGAAATACTTTTGTCTTTTAGGTTTCTGGATTCATTTTCCCACTTATTCAACAGACAATAATATAGTAATTAAGTAAAGCAGACATACAGTAATAGTCACGGTGATGGGCTACATAACTTAAGCAAATTTCTGGAGTTGCAGCAGACATGAATGCAAACCATCTGGAAAACACATCCAAAAAATTTGGAAATGTATAAAGGGCATTCAAAAAATTTCCAGCAAATTTTAAATTATGGTTCCTACATTATTTGGAGTATAAGATATAACTACTGCTATATTGCTACAAGTAAAACCACAGCAGCAGTGGCACAAAGGATGTCTTTGTTACTGGGTCATTAAATCACAGGGAGGGATAACCAGTGGTACTGGGAGACAGGGAATAAAGCCGGTACAACTCTCTATATGGCCCCTGAGTGTTGCTGCTTTTAAAGAAGACAAACAACAACACAGTGTCTTGAATTCCAATTGGTGTCTGTTAATAGAGGTTAAACGAATGGCATGCTCTTGGGTACTATACTCTAAGTCTGGCAGAGATTAGTTGTTAAAAGGCTCCACCTCTAAGGATCGATGGCCTGGTTGCATCATTAAGTTGACACTAATTGTCTCAGCTCTCTGGATTTTTATACAGTCACGGCAGTTGCCTCAGATCTGGTCACTGAGGTAATATGTCCCAAAGATTAAACATGCACACAGAGAGAGAAGAAAGGGTCAGTGCAGGACTGTCACTCTTCTACCTCCCTGCTGCTGGAGTCAGAGAAGGGCTGAGTCAAACAGTTGATTCATGTGCCCTACATGGTGAAACCATCTCATTTGCACGACTTACAAGGAAAAGGGATGTGGGGCAGAATCTTAACGCTGCTGGACCCAGACTGATCTCAGGCCAAGGCAACATGGCTGCCAGTTATAAGTTTGACTGAGTAATACTCAACACTTGCTTTGTACTCTGGCATTTTATACAGAGAATCCCCAGTGCGCACCTCTCAGCTGCCATTCCTCAGTGCTACCAATGGTTTAATGTACATGGCCACATACCAAATTGAATCCTGACCAACAGGTTGGAAATACTGTCTCAGTCCCACCTCCCATCACCTCATGAAGGATGTGTTTCTCCAATAGAGTGTAAATTAAATGAGGATTATTCAATTAGCCAACAACATAGAGTATAATTTACTCATGATTTGCTCTAATGTGACCAACTACACCAGGAAAAGGCTACAGTTAACTGCATCCGTAATAACAATCCGACAATATGATGCATGGTAAAGTAACAGTCACAGTGGCATTGAGTAGATGTACTTCACATTTTAACAGCACACTCACACAGGTGTTTCCATTAAACTGGCTGATTAGACCTCGACTGTGTGGGTGTTCTTGATTGACATCTGTCTGACCCTGCTATTAGTATAGGCCTTGTTCACAGCAGACATTTTGAGTCACGGTAGAAAAAACACAGGCGTAGCTAACGACATTAACGACTGAGCTCCAGAAAGTGTTCCAATAAACGAGGCCACTCAGCAAGCATACACAATACCACCATCCTGGAAATGGGCTCACATAAGTGGAACGCAGTCATCGTGAGTGTTATCAGTTACACCTGCGATTTTCTTACTATGACATGTCAAAATATCTGCTGTGGAAAAGGTTGCACCTGTTTTGGTTCATTTAGTGTCAGAATATCCCCACCCAACTTCAAACCAAACACTAATTGGAATGAATAACACCTGTGTAGGTGTGCAGGGACTTTAAGTGCATTTTGCTGGTAAAATTTATGTTCTTTTATTTAAATGGGTTTTCATACAGGACTTTTGTTTTATTTTTTTATGTGTGGTATTGTTATTTTTAAATAAATTAAGGCTTTGGATTCTTCCTCTGTCTGTGGTACTGACTTTCTAGGCCTCTCAGGTGAGAGACCTCGCAGGTAAAAACAGTACAGCAGAATATTTAGGCAGTACTAAAAGCTGCAAGACCTCATGGGAATGGGCTGTGATGAAAATCTGGGGGACTTAAGTAATGTGTGTTCCAAATGTCATAGCAATCAATCCAAAAGCTGCTGAGATACTCTGTACCACAAATGTGAACCTGCTGGTGGTGGTAGAGGAAAAGTCAGGGAGGGGTCACTGGAGTCATTCATCAGAGGACCATAAATGTCAACAAAATTCCATGACAATCCATCTAATAGCTGCTGGGATACTTCCTTCTGGGCCATAGCTGTGAACAGGCAAATTGAGTGACAGCACCATTTTAAACACAGCTAAAAATCCACACTGGTAGGATATATTATGCTCTAATCAAAACATCACATTCAGGATAACATGATTAAAACATTGTTGGGATGAACAATGAGAAATGATCTGGCACTTCGCTGACATAAGCATCTAAAGGTTAAAAGCCAGAGAAAAGCACAAGAAGACAGGTAATCACAATACTACAGTAGCTATCAGCTTCCAGTGTTCTGTCTCAGTATAAGACACATTATAAAACTAGAGCATCCTCCTGTCATTTGTTGTCATCAATCTTGAACACTTGCTTGCTGAAAAGGAAAAAAATACAGCAAACCCGAATGAATCAGTTAATAAAAGCAATAAAAACCTCATTTCTGTGCATTTCTGGGCCTTTTGTGGGACACAATCTGTTTTCACATCGTGCAGCCGGACACAGTTGCAGAAATCACTCTTTTCTGCCTCCTGTTTTCTTCCTCATGAGAAAAGCAAGAGCAAAAAAGAGAGGAAGAAACTAAATGAGAGAGAATGAGGAAAAACGAGTGCATCAATCAAGTAGCTTCTTCCTGCCAACAATGAGCTCAGTCTGCTGTGTCCTTTCATTTACTGGACTCACTGAATCTGGACAAGTCACTACTGTCTTCCTACGTGTATAAACAGACTAACAAGAAACAGTCTCACTCAGTTTTGAAAAACTATTTATTTTCTTTGGCACTGTCTGTCATTAAACATACTATTCTCTTCTTGCTGTAAAATAAATCTGATACATTAGACTTTGCACTGCAAGTCTTGTCATGATACATAATCATACATTTACATATGCAGATTTCTAAGAACTAGTTTGTATTCATTTGCTTATCTCAGGGTCCTTTGTCTTAGAATTGCAACATTTTCAACACTGAACATGTTTTTAGCTGCCCTTTAGCATGTAGCAGCCCATTAGCGTTAAGGCAGCAGCAAGCCCTTTGCTCAGAAATTCACTGATTACTGGACTCGTTATCTAAACCCTGGGATAAACAAAATCGTCATCTGGATTGAACAGCAAACTCTGACACCCAGCACCGGCTCTGATCGTTTGGCTCACACGCACACACACGCACCTTACATATGTTTTAATAATACTGAGATCACACAAAAACTATTCCCAGCTCTTTCTTTTTTAAGTTACTCCTTTAAAGGCGTTGATCATGAGACCTCATAGAAAATACTATGGCCAAATTGCACAGTTTCAATAAATTGTCAGGTAATACTGTCATTTAAATGTATAGCTAAAGATGTGTGCTCTTTTATTTTGGGCCAGAACAAGAACCAGGGTGCCAGAGTTGGTTTTCCACCCATTTTTCATTTATAAACCCCAATTCTGTAACATCCGCAAAACCAGCTGCTTTTAATGATTGATTTCTAACATCCTGAAAGTATCACCACTTTGACAGTCTAAATATAAAAAATATATTTTAACATATATATTTGCTTATTAAATCTAATTGGAATGGACATGGGGGTATAAATAGAAGTAAAACAATTTTCACATTTGAATAAAAAAAAAAAAAAACTAATTTGGGAAAGACAACAAAACTCCACAACATTCATTTAACATAAAAGTGCATCTGATTTAAAACTGATCCTTAAGCTAAGGCTTCTCAGTGAGGGATGCTTGGGCCAGACACACATGGACAGTGCAATCTTAGGCAAACAAGGCAACTTTCAGATTAAAGCCTTAAGCTTGTATTTTTTCCTAAAAAGCATTGTCAGATTCACATATAAGTTATATTACATATTACTGCCACCAGGTCCATATTATAATCCTGTATCTGTCCCTTTTAGGCACTTTATAGACTGAAAGCAGCTGTGATACCAAACAACTGTAAGAGACACAGGTAGGATAGGTCACTTTGAGGCAACAGGTAGAACCACACTTCATATGATTTCAGACTCCAAGTCTGTACTGAAATGCACAGACTCTCTCAGGTTCCCAAGATGCATTAAGGTGGCCCCAGACTCAACTGGTTAGTTTTAGAGGTAGGAGGACAGCAACAATGACAGTGATAAGGAGTTTTTTTTTTCTGTAGAAAAACATAAAGGGTCATTTTAATCAGTTATTGTAGTCCCATACCTTAGTCTTTGCCTCTCAATTCTTACTATTACATTAAACTTACAGAGCTAAGCACTTCGTTTCTCCTGGCAATAACAGACGGTCATTCAAAAGAATTTTTTTCACTGCAGTGAAGGCATTTCCAGAGTCTCCTAACAGCTAATAAAAAGTAACAACTACATAATATATTAATATTTTTCTTTCTTGTGAGTGTCATAACTTGACACATGTTAAAAAATCTTCTGAATCCTCCACTACAGATAATTTTTTTCATCCAGTTGAAAGAAAGAGTCTTTGCGGATTCTAGAAAAACCTTCCCAACAGTGATAAGGGTTGTTAAACAACCGGCTCAGTTGCAAGGAATTAATTTGTCAGAGCAACAGCTGCTTTCCACTGTGACTTGAATGTAATGGTAACATGAGAGGCACAAGCTGGAGCTAGGAAATGTGGTGTATAATGGTCTTCTGAAGCTACTGACAAGTGAACAGATTTGTGTATTTGGCTCTTATCATTAACTTCTGGTGATGTCTTCTGAGGGGCTGAAACCAAAACATGCCTTAAGCTTATTTTGGTATTAAACTCTGTGTAGCTGCTCTACACATACTGTATCTCCATGTAACATCACTTCATCTGTGTTTCACTTAGTCTACAGAGAGGTGGAGCTAGAAATGCTAAATCCATAACAAATAGCTTAAAGAGGCTGTGACTGAGGGATAGGTGAAATAAACAGTACTGCCAAGCAGAAAAAAAAAAAAACAGAGAACCTGTCCAATTAACACTGTAGTGCACCAATGGCTTCAGCATCCCACTGGGCAAACTTGAACATTAGGCCTGTTGTAGCTTTCAAAGTGTGCTTAACTAAACATTAAAAAGTCAAGCAGTTCAGGGCTTCCTGGCATTTGTCATAACAGCCAATCAAAATAAGGTAAACACAGGAGTATATACTTTAAGAAGACACAACTGGTGCATGAGCTATGATTCGATCATGCTGCATTCAGATCCTGTGTTTCTGTCACACTGTGTTTTGTTTCCCCCTGGTGGTGATTCTTGTGGGAGCCTGCACAGGCGCTGGTACACAAAGCACTGCACTGACTGCAGTTGTCAAATGGTTTGCACTTTGGATCTGTGTGAGTGAACAGTGCCTCCTCTTTGAAGCATCTGAATGGTGGCAGAGGGACATTCAGGCCAGTTCCACGCCTGGTCTTCTGTCATGGATGGGTTTTGAGGAAGCTACAGCTACTGCTGAGGCTACTGTGCTACTCTGTGTGTAAGTTAGGAAACCAGGCAGGTCTCAGCACAGAATCTGGGAGAAGGGATGTCTGAGCAGCTCCTCAGCACTCGGCCTGTGTTTGGCCTCCACAAAGATGCAGCGGATAAAGTCCCGTGCCTGTTCAGAAGTGTGCAAGGGCAGCAGTGGGTTGGTAGGCTGAGTGGCGATCTTGAATATGGCCGCCATGGCCTCATATTCGGCCCACGGAGGCTTTTCTGTCAGCATCTCCACCACTGTACAACCAAGGCTCCTGTAAAAGGCACGTGTGATTTGTTTGGTTAAGTCATATAACAAGTCGATACAAACACCACATAGTGTTTCAACACTATGAAGGAATGTTTTGAATGGAAACTTTGACACTCGCTGTCTGCAGAGGGCCTGCTCCACCTGTTTGGGAGGTAGAAAGCCCCCCTGGGAGCATCACTTCCCCTCCGGCCTGGAACCTGGAACATACCGAACTCTGTTACGGCGTGTCTGACTGGCCTTCAGCCAATCACATCACTTGCCTGGTGGGTCACCACCTAATCAGATTGCATAAGGGAATGTTGTCTGCTCTGTGTGTGGGAGTGTGGTAGCAACAGGGTTATGTACAGCAGGTTCCTCAATTTATTAAATGTTTTGTTCCCTTTAAGAGCACTGTGCATCTGCCAACTTATGAATGACAGGTTGGTCACTGGACAGAAACAAATGTTCCATTCCTTGTGATACCAAATTAACAAATCAGCTACAGTAGTTAATTCCTGGATCCATTAAATGTCAAAACAAGTCAATTTAAATACTCCTAGCTGATGAATTTTTTTCTACTAGGTGATTAAGACATGTATCTTCCAGTCAGTCAAACACAGTATCACTGTAAATAAATACATGAACATTTATAAATCAGGTTATACATCAATTCATATAATTTTTTGCAGGTCTTATCAACCAGTGGTCATGTAGTTCAGGTAGGACATCTATCCCTAAAAATAATTGTTTTGTAAAGCAACATCAAACTTTAATTTGAACTGCTGCGTATCTGCTGGTCTTACCAGACATCAGCCTTCCTGCCATAGCCCTCTCCACTGATCACCTCTGGGCTCATCCAATAGGGGGTGCCGGTCACTGAGCAGATGCCGGTGCCAGACATGCAGATGGTCTGCAGCCTCTTACTGGCGCCAAAATCTCCAAGCTTCACATTTCCCACTGAATCACGCAGTATGTTGGCACCTGAAAGCCAGAGTTGACATGGAAGAAGGAAATATTTTATCTCACCAATCATCTTCCACACATGGTAAGGCCCAAACATTTATATATTAAAGCACTGTCTAAACAGCCCAAAGGGTATAATGCTCAGGCCCCAATAGTTAAACAGGGCTACCTTTGATGTCCCTGTGTACAATCATGTTGCTGTGCAGGTAGGACATGCCCTCCAGGATCTGTCTTGTGTACTTCCGGGTCACATTTTCTGTCAGGGCTCCATAGGCCTTCAGCTGGTCTTTGACTGAACCCTGATACAAAGAAAGCACATGCACGTATTATACTGTGTTGTTATATGCAGGTACAAAGACCACCAACCCACTCTATCATCAATGTTCTGAGTGAAGATGCAGGCAGTAAAGGAGCCTACCTAAAACCTGGCATCTGGAAGATGTCTGTGATGCGTTCAGACAGACAAGTTACAACGAGGTGCTCTATGATCAGCTATTCATGAACACCAGGAAAACTGACTTTCTTTTGTGGTTCTTACTCTGTTTTTGTACATACCTTCCATGGTGTATTTATGATGCTAGATTTTAGACAAGTAAGTTGGCTACACATGTGTAACTGCAGCCCAGGAACCCAACGGAAACAATGTTCCTGTGGTCAGAATAGAGGTGAAATTCCTCAGCTCCTAAAATTGTTCCTGCAAAAGTTCCTGTGGTTGAAAAGAGCCATAAATATTTTCTCAGCCTTGAAAATAATTTCTGGTTGAAGTACAGGAAACATGCCCTAGCCACTTTTCTGAAAAACTTAAAATTATTTATATTACCAATTTAATAGAAATTCCAAATGTTGCTTACGGATCATTGTCCTTTCTTTTGCTTTCCTCCTGTCTCGATTTCATGCTCTTGTGCGACTGGCTGAGTTGCTTTAGTTTAATTAAAATGATCTTACATCATAACATCAGGTGCAATGTGAGCGAACACAAACACTAAAGTTAGGGAATTAGTTTCTAGTTTTCAACTGAGAAAACAATTACTACTCTGAGTCCTGCTTGAAGCTGTGTGGTGTGAAAACTCCTACGACTCACGCCCGGCATGTACTCCATGAAGATAGTGAGGGTCTTCTCATTGTGGTCCCTCAGACAGCCGTAGTACTGAGCAATGCGCTCATGATGCAGATTTTTCAGCAGCTGGATTTCACACTCCAAAGCACTGACCTCCTGCAGAGAAACGGTAAGAAATGACACCCTTAAAATTCACACAACAGCTCAAAGGTGACAAATAAAAGCTGTCATTTCTGAACAGTGCTTCTTTGTTGATTTACTGTATTCATTAAAAAAAAAAAAAGTTAAATATAATTAAAAAAAATTCTCAGAAATCCCTGCAGGCTCTGTCATATCTGTAACCAAAGATGAAACCATGATCAGTGAAACCATAAATACAGGGATGACAGTGATTTATGACTGCATGTGGAGTCTGCCAAAAGTGAAACCTAAATCAGAAAGTAACTAACAGCCAACAGCACAGTTCCTCAAAAGAACTTCCTGTGTTTACCTCAGAGAATGAGGCCACAACAGAGAGAGAGAGAGGGAAATCCCAAAACAGAAGCTGGTTTAATAGAAACAACAGCAGATTCTCATCTGATATAAGCTGGGGGGGGTGGTGGTGGGAGTATGAAGGGGTAATGGGAGGCCAAGGCAACGCTGACCCATCTCCCACCACCACACCACAACGCTCCTTTCAGATACAGGAAGTGACAGTGCACGTTTTCTCTGTGGCAGACAGGAAAAGACATTAAAATGGTGAAGGGGGGGGGAGGAAGGAAAGAAAACCTGTTTGATACATTCCACTTCTTGAGTTGGTGACTGACTATTCTCCTTCTGTGTCAGTGCATTAAATAATGTTTATTGCTAAAATCCTGAAGCAAAGATGTTTTTAACATGGTTAACTCATTAATCCCATGCTAACTAGCTGCATTCCAGCATGATGAAGTAAATAGATTAGCATTCACAACATATGAGGTCATTCTTGGTGCATATACGGTTTTTACAGTGGTGCAGACTTGTGACTTGCTAATGAGCAACAAACCAAGGTCTAATATTTAACAGTACAGTTTCAAGAGACATGAGTTATACTGTCAAAATAGCAAGGAGATGACAGAATGCAATTTCCTAAAAACAGTAACCAGTGGTAAAGAAATGTACAAATGCAATGTCATCAAAACTACCCCAGCATTTTTATACAAATGAAGCAATGACAAGAGGCAAGTGCAAAACCAAGAGTATAAATATTCAGTACTGGGAAGAGAAATGATGAAAACCAACAGAAGCAAAACCTCCTGCTTCTGTGAAAACATGGATGTAAGTGAACTAACCATGGTAGTGTAATTAGATAGTATCTCACCTTGCTGGTCTCAGGACTGTCAGGATCAAACTGGACTTGCTTGGCAGCCAGCTCCCTCCCAGTATCCACATCGTAACACAAGTAAACCCGTCCAAATGCTCCCTGGCCCAGAAGTTTCCCCCACCGCCACGTCACTGGAGCACTGGGTGCTGGAAAACACAAAACAACCACACACGGTCAGATCTTCATTCACATAAAATATACAATATAATCTTAATGAGACACAGCAAGACATATGATTTATGGTTTATAGGATCAGTTTTTACTTTTATCATTTTACTGAATCAATGTTTAAATACCTTTGCCAAGATTTTGTTCATCTTGCCAAAATTTTATTTTGGAGGAAACTTTGCATGAACACAGAGCTTCAGCTGTACTGGCCCTTAAACCCTTCAGAGTATCAATTACGCATCTCTTAAGAATGTAATGGATGTCATCCTAAAAAGTTGGATCAACACTCACATGTATGGGCAACAGAACGATCCTGGTGATGCAGCCTGCCCTGAGCATCAACTAGCTGCCAGCTGCCCACACTCTCCTCGCTGCCGTTGAGCGACCGGCGTGAAGGCACCAGAGTGAACAGGTTCCCCTGGGGGCGGCGAATCCGTGGAAATGTACGACGACCTGAAGGGGATCAGAAAAGAGGTTGGCTGAGGTGAATATCACGTGATGAATGAGAGAGACAATGGGAAGAAAAGGTACAGAGTGAGACGAGAGAATGTAAGAGGCCATTCATATAAACTGAGCATCCTACCTTCACTGTGATCCTTGTGATGCAGGGAGACATGGTACCTACGAGGATAGGTGCCTCCCTTCCCTGCTACCCTGTCATACACATGATTCTCCCTGTCTGAAAGTAAACATCCAAATGTCAAAGGTCAGCAGTATTACTCTGTAACTCAACCACAGTTTAGCTAAGTCACACAGCTTTCAAATGGGCTTCTTTATTACTCTCCCTTCAGAGAAGAACAGGACACTACAAACCAAACACTGACTAGCAAGAGTAGAATTCTTTATCAAATCAATAATGCTGCATTCTCAGCTTTGGCTCAGCCACATTGCAAACCTTCCCTCATGTCTTTGTGGTTTTACTCTGAAAGTGATTGTCACAGTGCTTTATTCCATAAGATGCGAATGTGTTGCTTTCACACAATATTTCTGTATGGCTATTGGTGCCGCTTGAAAGATCTTTTCTTATAGCTGCTCTCACCTGAGCACTCCTGACGATTATCAGGGTAACTTTTTGCTCTGTGCGTGCGAGACTTCCTCAATGAGGGGCTGTAGGGGGAGAAAAGGAAGCAACAGGAAATGCACGTACCAATTATAAAGATGTCATGGAAATGCTAAAACATAATAAGTAGAGAGCTCCTGTACAAAGTCAGTCTGTAGGTAGGGTTTGTTCCTGACCTGTCTGAGTTGCTGTCCAGAGACTGACAGCTTCCAGAGACCGAATTCTCTGCACTGCTCCAAGGATCCAACATCTGTTCATGGCACAGTGGAAAATGAAGGGTGTGTATGTATATGTGCTTTGTGTACACATGAAATTAAAATCCATCCTTAAAATTTATGTTTGGATTCTTCAGAAGCCCAATATTTCCCTTTTTATAAATCAGCTTGTCTAGCAATTTAGTTGAATCACTCAGAGGACTCAATGAAGTCTTTGTCTGACCTTTTGCTTACAAGTTACATTTGTAGTCAACCTAAAAATGTACTGATAAACCCTGAAAATCAACCAGGATTCTGTCAATACCCACAAAAGGTCAGAAATCAGAAAAGGGCTTCATGTAAGCTGTTGAATATGAGTCGTTTTTATGAAGACGTTATGTCTGAGATCATAAACACAGCACTTGAACTCTTAAGGGTGGCTTTTCCCCATTATCTGTAAAGCTACGGGTCTAAGTATTACAGTAGGGGGATGTTATAGACTGCCATTAACAATGACTGAGTCTGTGTCCTCATTGGCTCATCACCTCTCTCATATTGATTACAAGGAGAATGTTTTATTTGGTGAAGGTTCCAGGTTCAAGTCCAGGCTGACCTAGTGCCTTTCTGTACTGTGTTTGCATGTTCTCCCCGATCTCCCCTGATATCCAAATTTAGAAAGAAATCCCGACATAAGCCTTGGTTCACTACTGATCTCTCTAACATGCAGCATAGTAGAGATAAAGCCGGGGTTAAAGCAAGAAAGACAAGCTCCATGCTATATTGGCTCCATTTTAGGCAACTAAGTAATCAATGTACAGCTAATATAAGAAATGTGAAATCTGAATAATATTTCTATGCTACCCCTGACAGTCTTAATGAGCCAAGAAAGTTCTGGAGATCAATTATCAGCTCACAGACATTCTGATGGCCTGCCCTCCTACATTATTAAGGCCTCAGCTACAGTGTCTGATAGGCTCAGTATGTTTAACTGTTTTAATGAACATTTTGTTGCTTCTTCTAGACTTCCTGTCTCTGGCACTAACTCGCTCTTGGAAATTTTAACAATTGTTGTCTGTTTTAGTGCTGCATGTGTTTTTGTTGTCTCAAAACTGTGATGCAGCCATATTGGCTGGGGCTCCCTTGGAAGAGACATTTCTAAGCTCAGTCGCATTACTCCTTGATTAAATATTGGTTAAATCAATAAAATGACTCACACACTGATCGCTGGTCTCAGGGATGAACTCCCCCTCACTGTTTATGCTGGTGTATGAACCTTGGCGGGCGATCCTCTGCTGGCGTTCAGGCACATAGCCAGGAGGCGGTGAGGTCCGCCCTGTGTTCTGAGAACCTGGGATTAGACAACACTTATGAGCCTGATGGAAAAAATTACACATATATGAAAAACGAGAACGTAAAACAATTTGTGAACTTTACATGCCCGAGGACTGAAACATACATAAAAAATTCAGCAACCATATTTGTTGATTACATGGGGAAAAACTGCTTTACATAATTTGTCAAATTAATAGGTCAAGTTGACATTTGGTTTCTATTTTCCAGGGAGAGTTCCAGGGGGTTGGGACTATACTCATACAGCACACATCCATGCTTTGTGATATGAGGACAGCCAGAGAGCGAAACTGAGGAAGTAAAAAAAGAAGCAACAATCCATAACTGAAGATTAATAGAATGCTGATGTTTCTGAGGGAACCTTTTTGACTACATTATGTCCTTTGAATCAGAGTGTGAGCCATGTTGCTGCAGATAAGATGAGAGAGAACACTGAATGAAAGCTAAAGATATGTACCAGTTGATAGATGGCGCCCTCTGGGTTCAGTGGATTGGTACACTGCGCTCACGTCTCCAGTGGATTGGGAAGACTTGATCCTCACCTGTTTACATGGTGCTTGGTGAGAGGGGGAGGAGGCCTGCAGTTAGAGGAAGGAGGGGAGGACAGGAGGTTTAAGCACCACCACAGTACATGATCAAGCCATGGCTTTGTGTCGTCATGCCAGTTTTGTGTAATTTAATTAAATGAGGAACCTTGATTTTTCACAACATGGTGGTGGTGAAGAAATGGCAGTGGCGCAATGGCACATTTTAACTACACACCCACTATGCACATATGTGTGTGTGTGTGTGTGTGTGTGTGTGTGTGTGTGTGTGTGTGTCTCACCTTGCTGTGCTCCTGAGTGAGCAGCAGGATCTTGATGCTCTTCATGTTGGAGCTTCGGTCCAGCAGGTCGATTGCTTTGTCCAGATCGTCTTGACCCCGCAGAGGGATTGACAACTGGAAAGATACAAGACAAACAGACCCACACACACACACACACACACACACACACACACACACACACACACACACACACACACACACACAATCAACAATGCATCTGAACTTATTCCATGATTCACAAGCATACAAAGTCTATTGGAAGCACTTCAACTCAATGCAGATACATGCAACAATTAAATCAAAAGATTTAGCCTATTAATTGATTAGTTGATCAACAGAAAGTGATCACACAATTTTATATAATAAACTACATGCACTCTCTGCATGTCTGTCAATGTCTCATTGATCCAGTTGAACGTAGAGAGAGCTGAAGGACAAAATGAGGTGGTGAGACAGCAGAAGTGACTCCACTTTACCTCGTTGTTCATATAATGGAGGTCTAGATGCTGTCCAAAGACAGTCTTAACCTTTTGCTGGATTTCTTCAAACTGCACAGGCCGTCCAAACATCAGGATCCTACACATAAAAAAAAAAAATCACACACAGATGCAGATATTATGACACTTGTACTGGCTGCTAAGGAAACTGATTTTGATCTACATGCACACATGCAAACAAAATACATGCAAGCTGCTGTTTTTAGTGTGCACATTCCTCTAAGTACACCTTGCATATCTGTGGTTTGTGCTTGCAGCCACAGACTCACCACAGTCTTTTCCACCATACCACTCTGAAGTACAGCACAGTGCTGGAGTATATGTTTGACTCTGGGATGTACTCTTTCTCAACATGAGTGTGCTTGTCTTTGTTTCTAACTCACATATGGATATGTGCATGCTTTCATGTATAATACCAACACACACACACACACACACACACACACACAACATGCATGTAAATAAAACTGACCTCCTCTCTCCTGAGAACTCAAACTTTATCCTGACATCGCCCTGAGGGGAAGCAGACAGAGGAAGGTCAAGGAAGTCAAAGGAGGTCAGTGGTGTCCAAAAAAAGGCTGTGCTGATATTTTTATTATTGTACCTTACTTTGTGAATTATGTTCACCACAAAATCCAATGTGATTGTCCCCAAAGAACGCAATTCAGATGTTTTGAAACTGGGCTTTAGGAGCAGCGCTACTTTCAGACTGACTTGCACACGTGGTGTCTTCACCAGGACTTACACAAATATTGTTTGCTAAGAAGACAGGTCACTCTGCTTCTTTCATCATTTATGAAAACCAATAGAAGGAACCATTTCAAAGACCTGGGAAAATGGTGGAGATTGTCTTTTTGTCTTTGTGAAGAATATACTGTATCTAAGGCTATCTAACTATAACTAAGTATTAGGACTTGGGTAATAACAAGGGTAGGTTTCAAAAGTTACTATTTCCTTTATTCCTGTGTTCAGATTCAGGATTACGAGGACACCTCTACAGAAGCTCGAGCTTCCAAACCATTTTGTAGGCTTAAGTCTTAAAATGTTCAGCTTATGGTGATAGAGCTATACCACACCTGTCTGTTGGTCTGAGCTTGCGTCTTGGGTTTGCCACTATCGTATGACAAAACAGGTTGGCGGCGCGTCATCTGAAGGGCAACCAGGTCCTTCATTATAGAGTGGAGAGCCTGCCTCTCATCTGAAGAAGATAAAGAGTAGGGAAAAAATACACAGAGTGGTTCCACAGACTGGGAAATGAATAGTGTGTGTATGACAGAGAAAGTGTGAGATACGAGTCCTCAGCACTGTTAGATCTAACAGACAGATAACCCAAAGGGACATGTGCTCATACCACACTTACAGCACCAAGCTGATCCTCCTCCTCCCTGACCACTGAGACAGCTGCTTCCACTGTCTACATCTGTCAGGATGTACAAAACATACATATTCCAGGGTGTCTCTTATCAGAACTGTGTTTGACATTACAGGTGGGGTTTATCCTCATGTACCCGATTTCACGCCCAGGTGTGATCACACATGGCACAGTTTCAACACAGCTTACTCTTGAAGCAGGAGAGTCATAATTTAAATAACTTAAAAAGAATGGAGACAGAGTTTAGGGATTTGACAGCAGAGAAGGAGCTCTGCCATCACTCTGATCCATGTCCAAACTCTTTTCTTTTGTTTTCCTTCATATCAGCTCTTTAAAAGTAGCAGGGAAAACTTTTTGAGTCTATGAATGAATTTGACCAGAGAACGGTATATTTAGGTATTAGGGTGACAAACTCCGAAAAGAAGAACATCAACATAATCAAGAAAAACACAAAATCATCAGTAGAAATCATCTGTCAACTCCATCCTGTCAGCTCCTGATCTTCTTCAACAGGCTGATCCTCTTCACTATCAGCACTGCAGCCTGACTACACCAACCTGACCACCATCGACACCCCGTGAACATGCAAGTAACCTTCCTTTGCTAATGCTAATCTGGTGCCAGAATTAGAATTAGCTCTATCCAAAATGTCCAGATTCCTAGCTCTTTTAGCAGCCATTCTCATGTGATGACCAGTACTATATTCAATATTCTGTACCCACATTCTCATTGTTGCTGAACGTAAATGTTGTTGTTGTTGTTGTCTGGTATTGATCTGTTTTTCTTTGGCTCACAACTCATAAAGATTTTTTGCTGCCTTGCTTAGTGAAACATCTTTTCTCCCCACAAAGGTAATAATTTGTGGTTAAGAAACTCTTCTTGGCAGGCCACTAAGAGGACTTGTGCATTAGTTTTATCATGCCTGACCTTATAAAGCCATCTCGGTGGATGAATAATTAACTTGGGTATGTGTAATAAATCTGATTAATATTCGCCCAGATCATAATTGAGCTAATTTCCTAAAGCACTTAGCTGCGCACTAAAAAAGGTGTGTGGAGACAATTAGTCAGTCATCTTTAACTACAGCCACATTGAGGCTATCCTGTGTCATGGTATTAGAGCAAGGGAAGGCCTGCAGTGTTTTTCATATGCCTATTCCCATGTTTGATCTCAGGGCTGGACTAACTCACGAAGAGAAAATACTCTCCCTGTGTAGCTTGGACAGACATCACACAACCCCGGGGCAGCCGGGAGAACCAGACCCCCATCTCTACAACGCCGAAAACCAATCCTTCACCCGCCAGTGTCTGGAGCAGCGTGGGGGGGGGGGGTCTTTTTTTATCTTATGTAATAAATGTCTGTCTAACATCAGATTTTAGACTTACTCATTGTGGCGATGTTTGCGTACGTCTACAAACCAGTCTTTAGAAACTTGTCTCTACTGGGCCAACCCACCCTCAGCCTGTGGAAATAAAACAGAAATCAATTAGTTATAAGAAAAAGGCTTATAACTATACGCTGGCACTGTTTCTTGTTAGTATTTGTGCCTTGGAGAAGAAGCATAAGGATGTGAGTTACTGAGTCAGACAGGAGATGACACAGGTTATCAGCCAGTTTATAAGCCTTTCATTTATAGCACAGGCCCTTTTTCATTCTTGATTCCATACAGGTATGTAAAAACATGTAGCCTAATCCTGCAGAACACAGGCCCAGTGATTTTTCTGACTGAGGGAATGAGAAAGTGTGCAGTGCATTTGAGAATGTGTGTTTCATTCATAAGAAAGAATGACAATTGGAAATGGCTGAAACTCAAGTTTCACTGGCAGAGACTGGTCTGGCACACTTCATAAGGGGAAAAACGCTTTTTAACCGGAGTTTTCTACAATTTGAAATATCTGCCCGCTTTAAACATCTCCGCAGAAACCTCACTCAGCCGTGGTATAACTCCATTGTTGATGTTAACAAGGTCATATTATTGGCCCTGTTCTTGACATCAATTATATACTAGGGCATTTCATTTAGTGGGAAGTTGTAGCAATAAACCACATAATATAAACTAATGCAGTAAGGGGAAATACAAAATGCCTTGAGTTCATCTTACGCTGAGGCCCTTAAACTTAGTTTTCACAAATACAGTAGATGATGAATGAATGATGCTTGGTAAAGCAGTTATGATAGATTTGAACAAAAACAAAGCCAAATGACGGTTACCTACTTATCAAATCAGAGATCTGATTAAGTAGAAATATGTCTACTGAGGATACACTGATCTGACTTCTGCTCTCACAGTTCTACTGTCTTAATTTAGGTGTATTTGTAATCTGCACTCATCAATGAGTGAACCTCCTTTGGATCATTTTTATGCACAGTAACTGGCTGTGTTGCTAAAAGCTGGTTTGTGACTGAATGAAAGTAATTGACATTTATAAAGAAACTGTAAACAGTGAGGATCCACCTCATATGATAGATCTACCTCAGATCAATACTTGATCTGCTTAATATGATCAATATTGGCACACATATTGTTGTGGTGGACTGGATTGATAACCACTTTTCTACCAGGTTTACACCATAAACCACAAAAAATGTTTATCCAAGTTAATGTACATGGTTAAACCAAATTAGCATCTCAGGTAAATCAGAGGTCAGTGATTTCCCATGACAGCTTTAAAAACTCATAAAAAAAAAAAAGACAGAAGAGGAAAGTGATCCATCTGCCATGGTTATGTGGTTGGGTGCTCGGTAACCAGTTTAATTTATACTATGGTAAATGGACTGTATTTATATAGCGCATTTCCACAGTGTGTTACACTGGCCAAAGCGCTTTACAGAGATGATACACCATTCACCCACCTATGACGACAGCTGCCACACAACGGCGCTAATCAAGCCACCGGGATTCAGTGTCTTGCTCAGGGACACTTAGGCATGTGGGGAGTCGAACCACCAACTTGCTGGTCAGGAGACGACTGCCCTACCTCATGAGCCAAAGCCACCCACACTAAGACAGCAACAAAGGAAGCAGTGCTGATAAATACCAGATACCAGCCTGAAGAGTGTCAGAGAACGGAGGCCGGAGAAGAGGCTGCCGCCGTCTGATTTTGCACAGTAAGAAAACTGTCCAAGAAGAAAACAGGGATGAAAGAAAACAATTTCTGTGCATGTAATGCACAGCATCAGCACCTGGGGCAACAGGCACGTCCGTCTGTGGTCAGCGGAGCGTTGCCACGTTGCTTTCAAGTTCCTGCCACTCTCATGTTCTATGCCAACAGAGTAGGCGCCAAAGACTTCTGTCCTTCAGCTCATCGAACGTCATGCTCAAGATATTTTATCCCCTACTAAACAGAGTTTATGAGATGTGTGATACCCCCAGTAATGGTATGGATGTGCAGTAACTTCAGAGAACTCAGAGCCATTATGCCCTTTCTACCTACACATTGTTCTCAATTAAGAACAGTAAGAGTGCTGGATCTGGAAAGAAAAACTCAAACCATGCACCTCAAGGGTCCTTGTAGGCAACAAAACAACAATTAACCTCTGTGTCCAATCCCCGATCTACCCTCTGCCCTCCTGTTTCTCTAGATTTTAATTACCTCCCAAGCGGAATGCAAAGAATTCAGTGGAGAAGAAGGCTTCGTTCTACCAGTCCAGTCAGCTGGGCCTGCTTTATTTCCCTTGTCTCACATTTCCAGGACTAGCACTATTTACATGGATTTTTCTCCCCCCTTCTTCTCTGTCTGCTTTGAGAGGTGTTTAGTCTGATGCTGTTTTTCCCAGCCACAGTTCTCACTCCGTCTCTGGCCAGGGATGCATCTGGACTCAGGGCTTCATGGCAAAATCCCCTGCTCCGATCTCTCCTGTTTCAGGTGCACATGTGCTTTTGATTCCGAGCAACCCACCACATTTAAATATTGCAGTCTCAACAAAGACCAAGCGCTTGCCTTGGCTAAAGTCTCAAATACCCTTTGTAGTGTTTTAACACATACAGATGTCTTCAAATATAAATTTCAGAAGATAAACCTATGTGGGTTACAGTGTTGGTTACACTTTGAAAGTGTTCAGATAACAGTATGTTAAGGGTCAAATGATAAAAGAGAAGGGGCCTTCTGTGTTCCATAACAGCATAAGCTTATAAAAAAAGGCCACACTTTAGCTTTTGTCATCTAGAGAAAGATGGCTAATACATCTCAGCAATACTCTCTGTCTCAAGAGCCTGCAGGTTTCTGGAAAAAACGTTTTGAAACCACTAGCTTCAGTACCTTCCTCACCACAGCTGTGACAAAATTCTAAATGCCGTCAATAAGCAAGGGTACTGTTACATGATTTTCTGGTGCTATTTAAGACTTCTTTACAACTACCGTGTTTGTAAACACAGGGCTACATTTTCATTTATGCTCAGCTAATAAACAGATATTTACAGACGTATCTACAGTATATATCATACTCTACAGGTGTATGCCTATATAAAGCTGTTATTTTATTTTGTTTTGATAAAGGTTTTCACAGTCAACAACTCTACAACACTTTGTGGGTGTTACATTTAAGTGTATGTATTTTAAAGCAAATAAACAGTAGTCTATGTTGCAGACAACAAACAGGTCTCTGTAGGTGTTTCTTCTCTGGTTCTCAGAATTCATTGCCTGCTGTGGTCACTGACTTCACCTGATTCTGACGATGTAGGACAGAGGACACTGAAGTCACTTCCTCTGTATTTATATTTTAATTTGGGTGAGGGGGTGTCAACAGACTAAGTATTCCTATCTCTCATTCTGTTTAGCTTTGTGTTCAACTAAACAATGAGAAGTCCACATTTCTGCCTGAATATTCCATGCTGACGTTAAAGAGATCATTTAAATGATTAAAAATCATCTTAGACACTTGATTTTGGTACCTGAGTTGCACTAAAGATACTCTTGCACTCTTGTATTTTTAGAAAATCCTGGCTACATCCAAGTTTTCAAGCAGAAAGCTTGTTTTGCACACATGTTATGAATGCAGCATAATTCATCACCTGTCATCCCTGTCACGTGCACAGCTCACCTGTCTTGGTGTCGACCTCGGTCAGGACAGGACCGTGCGTCTCCCGCGTGCAGGTCACTCCGGTCACCGGCGTGTCTTGGCAGAGATGACACAGTAGGTCCAGCGGTTGTCCACGTCCATCGGTGTCCTCAGTTAGATGGATACACTGGGGACTGTTCATGTATATGAGGGCGCCATGGCGGGGCTGACCCCCCCCCCACCAGGGGAACGTGGGCTGTTGTTCTTCAAGGAAAAGTTGGAGCACACGCACAGAATGACGCTTTCCAAGTTGTAAAAGCAAACACGGTCACATCAGACAACTGTGGGGTTTACACTGAAAATTGTCCAGTGGAAAATCCCACATAAGACTGGTCCAGCTGTGGTCCAAAAACAAAGATTTCGCTCCGCCGCAGTCTCGGGTATTTGGAAAACTCAAATTTCCAAAACATGTTCATAAGTCACACTAGATGTCAGCGATTTCAGGCGCTACTAGACAAGATGTAAGTGACAGTATGGCCTGTATGACATCCATTAATGAGTAACAGCTCGCCAGAGGCAAATACCGTATGATTTCCGCGATTTTTGATGGCAACTCCTCCTGCTAACTTTGCAGAATCCCCTCTGTGTGTTGCCAAGTTTGAATTCAAAATAGTTTATGCTGGAGATACGTTTACCTTAATCATTGCACTGCATAAAACTGCTTCGAGTTGCAACTTGAATATGGATCTATAGGAATACACAAAGGCCTCTCTGACCTATAACACAAGTATTTTGATTCAGACGACATAAGAGTTCACACGTTAACAACTATACTGGCGGAAATGACATTTGCAGATAGAAATACTAGCCTACGTGTAGCCTATATATTTATTATACACAAAAACTCGATTTGTTATGTCAAGCGCTGGACAAACTCCATCGAGGTTGAGACTTCGCAGAGCTTCGAATTCCTAAATTACGGTACTTGAGGTATTCATACAAGAATCAAACTGACTTTAATGTGAAGGAGGAGAATAAAAAAACTGGTTCATAAAGTTGTGGTTGGACGTCTGTAGACACCAATAGTTCCCCGCTTTCTTCAACCAAAACAAAGCAAGAATAATGTTCAGTTGAATACGACAAACTTCCTGAGAGGAAAAAAATATCGCCACCGGAACCCGCGTTTATGCTTCCAATAAGTCATGAAAACTGTACTCCAGTGTTGTATCCTTGTCTTCCAAAGACCTGACTGTCCGTCTTCCATACATATGTTACAACACGGATTTATTCCCAGGGGGATTTCTGACTAATGAACTATGTAAATTAGTGCCTTACAGTCACGGGGACGCGACTCGGCTGAAGTCTTTCCACTGGAGCGCGCACAATATTATTAAAGGGGTGGAGCATCTGTGACGTATATCAGACGTATGCTGCTTTCAGGGCTTTCGGAAAATCGGCTTGTCAACTGCAGCGGCTAAATGCATTTTTTGCAACTTAATAACCGGTTATCAGTGGTGGAAATTTATTTGATATACATGTATTCATTTATACGTAAGCGAAGTTTTAGATGTACTTTGGGTGTCTATTTAATGCAACTTTATAACATACTTCTATTTCACTACCTGCCAGAGTAAAATAACATCCATTCATCCATTATCTGTACCGCTTATTCCTGAATAAGCTAACAGTGGGTGAGAGGCCGGGTCCACCCTGGACAGGTCGCCAGTCTATCTATCACAGGCTTGACATGTAGACAAACAACCACACACTCACTCCTACGGGCAATTTAGAGTCGCCAATCAACTTAAGCTGCACGTCTTTGGACTGTGGGAGGAAGCCGGAGTACAGAACAACATTTACCTCAAATTACTTCTAAGAATGCATATGACAACTTAAAGAAATAGGCATGATAAACTACTCACTTTCTGAAGAAATTAAGATTATTTTGCTTACCGCAACATTAAAATGGTTAGCATACGTCATCTTATCAAAACATATAATCTAATAATGGAGCTATACTATACAGGCTGAATTGCACTAATGTGGAACACCTGAGTTCCTATACCTGAAGGTCTTCCTCAAATAAAAGTCAGTGAAACCACGGGTTAGAACAGGCTGTGACATAATGTTAACAAAATCACATGACTTTTCATATGTTCAATAAAAAATTAGGGTGCCTTCATCTTCAAAGCAGGAAGCACCCCTTGTGAAGACCGCCTAAAGGTCAATGACAGCGTTTAACATTAGACAAACTTAATGTGAAGGCTATACATTTCTCTTAAATAAAACAATCATGCTTTTTCAGGATGCTTATATGTTTGTTCATCAAAAATATTATAATATCATGTAAATATACTCAATATCTCTTATTTCAATCAAGGATTTAGCCATATTTACTTCAGAAAGATTGAAAAGTCTGAATTAAATTAACACCAGCATTTTATTTATTTATTTTTCTCCAAAAGCATGTAAAAAAATGCACAAAATGTTCATGTGTACTGGCGTAGCAAGGGGGTGCTAACATTTTAAATGTTCCATACCAGAGCTAGGCAGTAGAGAGAATGGAAAGTAGAGGAGAAAGACTGAAAACACAGTCCAAGTGTCCTTTTGTTGTAAGGCCACATCAATCCACAGGTTAAGTCTGTAATACAGAATACGTTTTCAAAGATGCATACATTTAAAATGTCTCTGACAACAGCACTGCAAAGTAAGACCACATCAAGTTTAGCACAAAATTACATGACTCACAGGCTGAACATTTAACACATCACACTGCGTTCACCTGAGCCTCTTGGCACCAGTGTAAAGTGTACCTTGTCACTTCAATTGAATTCACAAATATTGCAGTTGTACCTTGGCAAACTGCTAACATAAAATAACAAAGACAACATTTGTAGATACAATACTCCTGATTTGAAAGAATTGTCAAAGATCCAGAGGACCATTGTAAAATAAAAAAGGAAACTAGACTTTGCCACACAAAATTAGAAGTATTATACATTATATGTGAATTAAAAAAAAAGGCTGCTGGTTGAGTTATATGTAAAAGAGTGAGACTCAGACGTAAGCACGTCTTTTTAAAAAAGGCATGAACAAGAGACTTCTTGAAAAGATTTGTGCACTCAAAAGTATTGTTTTAAAAAGAAATATGGACAGCTATTTATTTCTAAGGCTCCTCTATTAACAATGAGCAAATATCAATCTGTCTACTTTAGCTTTCTACTCTGCACAGCATGCTCAACTTCACAGTAAACCTTAAGTCACAGAAAGTATTTTGTCATTCAAGTTTCAGTGGTATTCAGACATTTTCAAAAATGAGATATCAGAATGGCTTTAGACTCATTCTTTGATTAGAATGAAATCATAGATGCAGAAATAGTCTAACTCAATTATTTTGTCTTAGGTGCTGCAATTAAATTAGATCAAAAGTGACTGAAATTCTGAGGCAACGTATTCAATAACTGTATAGAATAAAGGCGATGTTGAGAAGTTCACAAACAAAGGCTGTGTGGACAAAGGCTCTCACACTAGACACCACTGTCACACGTTCCCCAACAGGGGGAGCTCTGCACTGGGTTTTGCAGGAGAACCTCAGAGGAGCAATACTGTGACAAACCCTTCAGTCACTTAAATTCAATATTAAGAAACCGATCCCAGTGTTAAGATATATTTCCCTAATACATCAGGAGATAAGAACAGGAAGGCGTTTATTTAAAGAGGAAACCTAGAAGGGACTGGGGCTAATAACAATGGGTGTTCAAGTAACTATGTTTGGATTGGATCTGTGTGTGTCCCCATAAACTCTCCAGTTACGGAAAAACACTCAAATTCATACGAGAATTATCCTCACAAGATGCCAATAACTGAGAAGGGAACAAACTGAGGGTTTTCTGTGAGGTTTAAACTCCATCCATCTACACCCCTAATCGTGGCACAGGACTGTAACTGTGGTAATCAGTTTAACCACACATTTGCAGCTCCTCTTAAAATGTTTCACACAACGAGACTGAGGGATGTTTATGGACGAGGCCTCAGGTTTCTCAGTGATTATCAACATCTGGTCAGGTGATCGTGTGTGTGCGTGCAAGACGAGAGTACAGCATGGTGGGCAACATACACTAATCACATACTACAGCTCTATGCACAGACAGTATACAAAGCACTGCTACTGAAGTCATCAGATAAGGCTATTAAGACCCAGTCATACCAACATGCAAAGATAAGACTCACACTGGCCCTTAAAATAACAATAAACCATGGAACGAAGAGAACGACAATAAACACAGAAATCCAAACACGAGAGGTGAGCTGTTGCTGATGTGTGCGATTATTTTACAGTACTCTGTACCCTGTTTCTTCCTCAAATATACGGAACATGACAAACTGACAAAATTGTCTCTGACAGCAGAGTCACAATACTGAGGACTATTATTTTAATTTGTAATCTTTTAAAATGAGGGAAATACAGTATGTAAGATTTTTTTTTAAATCCTTGGGTGAAAACTGACCTCAGTGTATGCTCTACTGCAAAACATGGATGCTCTGCGACCCCTCTGATGTTTGCCTAAGCATACAGTTTTATTTAAGTCTAAAAAGAGAGGGTGCAAATTATTAAAAGGAATAAAAAAATAAAAATAAAAAACAATTACACTCCCCATACAATAGAAAGATTTTGGTCACAGTCATCTAATAATTCCAAATAAGAAAATAAAGATACCAATTAAAACTGAAACTAAAACACACCCCAAAAATATGTTTAAGCTGCATGGATTAAAACTGGCCAGTCATTTCCTAGCTGTTTGTGCATGTGTCTGTTCTGATGGCATTTAAAAAGCGAGTGAGTGCGTGGGTGACTTAACAGAGCCCCAGCATATGAGGCATGTGTTCATCGTGATGCACTGGAGGTGTTAGGAGGAGGCAGAGCTGGGATGGGACGGATCACAGGCAGACGTGATTATGCTGTCTTTGTTATATTATTTGTCTCCTTGGAGGCCCAGAGCTCTTTGTGCTGCTTTCGTCCAAAGCCCTCGTCATAGTTGCCCTTGTTTTTGAACAGCTGCTGGAAGTGGGGTTTGCAGTAAAATTCACCTTGGAGAGCTGCGTAGGTGCCAAGGCTGCCAGGAAGGGAGCAATGAAAAGGTTACATCCAAACCAAATGGAGGAGAAGAAGAAAGCCATGCAACCACACAGGAAACAGCAAACTACGTATACTCACCTGAGTTTGGCGTTGCAGTGCTTGCAGCAGAAGCAAGTTGAATGGAAGACCAGGTTGTTGGCAACCAGTCTTTCCATTGGGTAGACCGTCTTCTCGCATGATGCACACACCTCCTTTTGAGTCTTAAAGCTGAAGGACTGAACACATAAATATACAAAGTTACAACCAGACACACAAACAGGTGGCAATCATGGTCCTGAACTTTAGCAAAATGAGCATTTACAAAAGGCACAAAATGGAGGAAAGACTTCATTTGCTCTGAGATCAAATCCTGATGGAAGTGAAGTGGGGCACAAACAAGAAGAGATCAACAGAGGACTGTGAAAGAGAAGACAGATGATGTACATTTACCTTAGATCGTTGGACAGCTTTCTCTTCAGTGGTGCTTCTGGTGTCCTGGGAAAGCAAAGATAAACTTTAAACAAATGTAACTAAATGTGTGCACAGACTAGTGTAATGCAACAACAAATATTAGGTGAAATCAGCAGTGGATACCTGCCCTATCAGATTTACTTCACAAGATGTTTTGCACTGCCCTCACACAACCTTTTGTGTTAGTATCTCTTTCGCTCCCCCTCTTTCTGCTCATTCCATCTGTCTCTGTGCACCCCTGGGAGAGGATCAGGTGCCTTCTGTCCGGTCATGTAAGCCGAGCTGTGGGATGCTCTGCCCTCACCATAGCAAAACACCTCAGAACCAGCCTTACAGTTAAGAAACTTCACAGAAATCAAATAAATCTTACAGGATTTCTCAGTGAAACCACACGACTGACAGCTGTTCGGCCAGTCTGTATCTTTGACTTCTTTTTACAGCTTTGTAATCCATGCGTGTAATGAAGCATTTCTTTCACTCAGCCCTACAGTCATGCAAAGTTGTGAGTTTACCCTTTAATTCTCTGATCCATTGATGATGTTTTTATCATGTAATTACAATGATAGGAGCATTTAAATGACTTCCCCCAAGGCACTGAGAGGGTTAGGAAGAAAGAGGATCGCGTGATCCGAAGCTGGAGGATGTTACACAGTAGTCATGACTTTTTCTGCCCTCTGGAGAATTGGAGTTGGTTCCCAGCAGCAAGGGACATGGGCCACATCTTCACAATGGACTAAAAGGTAATTCAAGTGGACAAAAAACACAGAAGCCAGTGTGCAGGGAAGACAGGTGAGGCAAAAGTCTACTGTAGACTTTGCACGGCAGTTTGGTTGCAACTGGAGGATGGGGTGGAGGCTGACAGTGATAGCAGCAATAGCACAAATATGTGTGGCCACCATGGCCATCTTCCTCATAAAAATGCTGACCTGCTGACATGAGCTGAAACGACTGATGAAAACTGATAGTGGGCTTGAAGAAAAGTGGCTGAAATACCAGTCTACTAAAATCAGAGAAATCGATTATAGATAAAATATAGACAGGAATGTCTGACTAATACGAAGTATGCACCTTCAAAATTAAGGTACTTCTTCACACTGATGCAAAAATCTAATAAACATCTACTGCTGTCTTAAAGAAGTCCTTTTAACTTCTTGATAACATCAGATTATAGACCGTGTATTACTTTTCCCATGAAAAAGACATAGCATGTGGTGAGTGTCTCTTCAGAAAACATCTATTAACCACACAGTTCATGGTGACAAAGAAGTCCTGCTCAGTGATGTGCAACTGGTGCCGTAATGCACCAATCAACAACAGAGAAGAAGGAACAGCAAGGATGTTGTGTGAACCGGATGACATGCATCAGAAACTGGTGTCTCATAAACATCAAGGCCATGCAGCTTCCTGTCGATCACATCCCGACTGTCTGTCGGCTCCTCTTTATCCCCGATTCCTCCTGAGAGCAGCTAATGTTGCTGTTAGCAGCTTACACTTTGCTGGTTATCTGGCAGACTGCACACTAAACCACTTCCTGTTACTGCAGTGCAACTGCTGAGCCAACATGCCTTTCGTCTTCTCAAATTTATTTAACACAGTCAAAAGCTCAAGTCTGAACATCTAAAGTCCTCACTGTACATTTATAAAGGAGGCTACTTTAGCAGGAGGCTGCAACAGCGTCAAAATGAGGTCAATAAGGGCTTCATTTGAACATACCAAATCATCAAATTGCATTAAATGAATGTAGCCAAAAAAGGAAAACATGATCTGATTTATTTTTAATGAAAACAACACGGCGAGACTGTGTTACCATGTTAGGGGGTAGACATGCATTCCAGACACACACAAACAGATATCCTGGAAGACTCTAGATTAGCTTGTGCCATCTTGTCTTGTTTTGCCTTATATGTACATGAATCTCACTGCCACCAAGCAGCATGTGGCAGGAAGTTGTTATGACACATTTGGCTTCCTCTGTCTCGCAGAGGACCAACAAGGACAGCAGCAGCTAAACTCCTAACTGACTTCCATCCTAGTACATGATCACTAATGTCTACTTGTTCTGCATGACGGCTTTAGAGAATAAGGACTTCTGTTCAGAGCCACACAACTCAGACATTAACACAGGAACACTTCTGACTAATAAAAGCTACAAGATTGTATTGCAATTAATTAGTTACCCAGACCTGTTTAACTGTGAATAAATGTGACATGTCAGTGTGAGAAGCTAGAGCCAGATGGACTGTGGTGTCTTAGCAAACGAAAACCACTTTCACAAGACACAAGTTGAAATCTTCTTGCAGCAGAGCTTCAACTCTTACCTCAGAGTCTTCGCTTCACTTTTACTCACACCTGCACATGTTTACTCATGTTGCACCCATTCAGGAGTTATTATCCCCTTTTCTCTTTGAATGTGTTTAAAGGAATATTTTTGGGAATTGGAGTCTCGTCTGTACTGTAAATATGAAGCCTGTGACCGGTTAGCTTAGCATGGAAATAGAAAAAAACATTTCTTTGAGAAGAATTCTAGCACATAACCCTCTGTAAAACCAAACCTTTTGATTTTGTATGGATTAAACTAATTTGTTATTGTTTGACAGAGCCATATTAACTGCTTCCCCCCATTTCAGTTTTAACGCTAAGCCAAGACAAGCTAAGCTAACTGGATGCTGATGGTAGCTTTGTATTCATCGTACAAACATGAGAGCTGTATCAATCCTCTCACCTAACCCTCGACAAAAAGGAAAGTAAATGCATTGCACAAATGTCTAACTATTCCTTTAATCAACAAGAAGCCATTGTGCAGCTTCATCTGCACCCTGAAGGGTACTGATTCCTTAACAACCACTGCTGTCACAAATCCCACCGCCACAGACCACTGATGTGACAGGAGACTTAAATCAGCCCAAGTCTCTGTGGGCTTACTCCTTCAAAGTCTGAAACATACTATATATAATAGATAAAGAATTTGAGGATGCAGTTGAGAAAGTATATACCCTTAAAATAATGTGTGTAAGTTATGGAAGTCATCAAAACTACAAACCAGACCAAAGTTGACTAAATCTCAGTGTTTAAAAAACTGTCTGCTAATGTAAATCACAGCAACAGCAACTCTAAAGAATATTATGAGGGTCAAAGGTCAACATGTTCACAAAGCGGTCAAACTTAAACAGTCTCTTGTTCTCTTTGTAGTGCTAATCGGCAGAGCACAACAAGACAAACTCCCCCTGCTTCATGACTGAACAGACACTGTGGTGCATGAGTCACTGCTGCGAGCTCCTAGAAGAGAAGGCAGGTGCTATGCTAACAAATGTCTTATGTCATTAATCCAAAACAAGACTCCCACTTTCTTTCATTCTTTATTTTTAGAAATGTGATCATTGTTTAATCATTTGGGATGGCAAAGTGGAAAAAATACAAAGCAAATGTGAAGCACCACGGCCTTCAAACATATCAAAACAGTGTTAACGGGACTATCCATCAGTTGTCCAACAGCAGAAATAGATAACATATTCTAGTACTAACAACATAGACCAACGAGTTTTATGCTTTTTGCAGATAGCATCTTACTGTATATAACATTTTCTGGACCTGAAAGCAATCACACTGATCCAACAAGTAAAGCAGCTGCTGCAGGCAGGACTCACAGCCTCCCCTTGACAGTAATGTTCGATTAATGACTCTGAACATGAAGAGACCGAACACGTGGTGTGGACAAGATGACCGAGAAGAAAAAACAAACACTTAAGACTGGTATAAAAAAAGAAAACATGTCACTGTGATGATAAAATAAGTATTAGCTGAACATGACGGAACAGTCTGGGCCTTCACGGCGCAGATGGAGGTGCACCAACACTCTGTAGAGTAAACACATCTGGCAGCATGCTAGGTCATCTGAACAGCTGCTATGCCTCTTCCCTATTTGAACATCCTGTATGCAGTGGGAACATGACAGGGCACTCTGCTGTGTTTGAATGTCCATACAGTATGTTCAGCTTGTTGAGACACTTGTTTTTCATTTCCTGTCTGATGAGGATCTAAGACTGCAACTAACAACTATTTCCATTATCGATGGCCTATCACCTGCAGGAGCTGCTCTTTTTTATGCTTTCTTCTTAAAAATGACCAAAGAACAAAAGTGGACCAGACTAGAGAAGAGGGAACATTTCAAATACTCACAACATGCCCTGTCCCATCACATGCAAGTATCTGCTCTGTTATAACAGCGAATTTCCATCACCCTGAATGCTCCTTCACTGTGGATGGAGAACTCAACTGGGACAATAAAGGTCAAGGACAAGCCTTTTTTCATAAGGCTCCTGAAAATTTAGATTATTTTCACACAGCGGGCAGAGGTGGCTTAAATCCGACCCTATGTGACCCAGGTCTGATTTTTTAATGGCAGTTTGAACAGTACGAAACACATGAAATCGGATCTTTTCCAGCTTCGATTTGGGCCACTTCAGTATGTGGTTCTAAATCTGATACAGGGCAGATCTTTTAAAATATGACCTCAGTCTGAACAACAGTGTGACCTGAATGCAACTTTTCCATCACTATAGAGCGACATTCATTGTAATATACACTGGTGGGAAGCCGTAATGACACCATATGCTGTCCTTCTCTTCATTCCTATTCATATTCTGCCAATTAAAATGGCATAAAATGACAATTAGGCTACTCCACAACAACACAATCAGAGAAACTAATGCAACTAACATGCTGCATGGAAGATATAAAATTAATTAATTAATTTGACCAATATCAATTATAAAGCACCAAAAAAATGTTAGTTGTATTTAAGGCAATGATTTATCATGGTTTTTCATTCATTAACACTGATAAGTATCGCATTTTGACTCTGGCAGGGGTGGCTGGTGCCACCTCTGGCCAGCGCCAGGATCCGCCCGTTGTGAAAAGATTAAATGTGGATCATTTAAATGATAGTGAACAGATTTCCCACAAAGCTCTTCAGACTTCAACATGTGATGTCCGCTGTTGACAATGTGGGGAGCACTATAGAAACAGCTTACAGAAACAGTCTGCCCTAAGGTCTGTTCAAACCAGATAACCAACAATGCTCAGTGCTGACAGCAATAGAGATGCAACACAAATGTGTGCACGGGGTTGTTGTTTAGATCAAATACACATTTACTACTGCTTCACAGAGCCTTGAATTGCAACTTGACAGGAAAGCACTCTGGACAGGTTTGGGCTGTAGCAAAAGATTCAGAAAATAGATGCCATCATAAATCTGTGGAGTTCCTTCTTGTGTAGCAATAAGTTAACAATTTACTACTGAATTAGCACTACAGCTGAAGCTTTATTTACAAACCTCTGTGTTTCATTTATTTCATATCTAGGGATGCACCAATGCTGCTACCAGTATCAGGTCCGATACCACCCTGGAGTATTCTACTCCTACTCCTGAAAGTAGTTATCAATTAGCAGCAGCATTACATTAACCTCCCACTGGCTGAGCCGGTTGTTAGGCGGCAGGAAAGAAATTTCAGAGGTTCGGGGATATTTTTAGATATAAGTGATGACAACAAACATAAATCTGACTGCAACCTCAGCCTCTCTGTTAGCACAGCTAAAGAATCATTTAATTTCAATGATAAGGTTTCATGCACATTAATTTGTGTTTATAATCAGGTTTTGATTATCCCAGTTGAGAGTTACACCTGCAAACATCTTATCCCTGATTCAGACCTGACCAACCCGCTTATTCTTTCAGACAAACGTAGATATGCTTGAAAGAAACTTGGATACTGTACGCTGTACTCTGCTGGAACAAAAATGAGGGGCTATGATGTTCAACCAAGAAACACCTGCATGCAGATGATCAAGAACCTAAAAACTCTGTGATGATTATGTTTAGGGGGATGTGAAAAACCAGGGGTTTAACCAGATAAGAACAAAACCAGCTTATAATGAAAGTGACAGGACAGACTCTGCTTTCGGGGGAATGTGTGCAGCAAAATGTTGCCAGTCTTTTACCAGTCTGGTGTGCTCAGTGTTATATTCTTAGCTGCAATCTGCCAAGGAAGCAGCATCAGAGCCAGTGACACCAGCAAACTGAACAAGCTGATCAGGAAGGCTGGCTCTGTGCTGGGGGCTTCTCTGGAGCCTCTGGAGTTGAACATCGTTGAGAACACCTCACATCTCCTCCACTGGTCAAACAGTGGAGCTCTTTCTATCAGAGACTTCTTCAGCTACACTGTGACAAAGAACATTAACAGGAAGTCTTTCCCTCGGCTCCCTTACAATGGCTCTCCTGTGTGTCGGGAGAGGGATCTCCTGCTCTGATTAACATAATGTTACACATATGTTCATTGTACACTCATTTTGTTAATATCTAGCACTGTGTATTTATTTATAATGAGTTACAACAATATGTTGTATATTTTTTAAAATATTAGTTTATATGACAATAGTCCTTATGCTCCTTTTCTACTTTGTTTCTTATTTTCATCTTATTCTTACCACTTGAATTTGAACTGTTCTTATTACTTAAAGTCCACTTGACATTTAAACCGATTCGTTTTGCTGCTGTAACACCAGAATCTTCCCTTAGGGATTAATAAAGTACTCCATCTATCAGTATATCTAGTTCATATGAGACACACTCGGTGAGATACTGTACCTGTAAACGTCCTACTTCATTTGGAACCACGATAGTGCTGAACAATACGGAGCATCTTCTTTCATTCATGCTCTTATTTAATTTAGCTTGTTAAGGGTTTCTATGGTTAAATCGTTTGCAAATACCTCTTACAGACAACACGACTTATTTATTACAGATTTACTACAGACCTTTATGCAACATAGAGCAGGTCGGATCTTACATTAATATAACATCTATTTGCAAAGAAACATTCATCTGCTATGGCTGGTTAGAGCTGTTCAAACTAAACTAAAACGTAAAATCACGCAACGTGAATTAATATCCGTCTACAAATCGGCGGATACTGAGGAACATTAAATTATTCATCTGCTAGAAAGAGGGCAGAAGGCTGTCTGTAGGTTTAAATCACTGTTATCAAGCTGGCTGACTAACAAGCGGCGCACATTTAGAGGAACACAACGACCAGCGTTTAATACCCTTTAAACTTAGAAGAAAAGGACCATCTATTGTCTAAATGCAGCGTTTAGCATTCATAATGTGATTTAGAAAAACAAACCGGCTCCTAGTCAGCTAAACCTCGGCTCACCTCATCTCACAAAAAACAGACAGAAAGGGGAGCCGCGGACTGAGGAGAGGCTGCAGACACACAACAGCCGAGAAAAAGCACTCACCATCGGCCTTACTGGTCTGCAACACACCGGCTGATAACACAGAGACGGTTTATACACTCAGTAGCAGGAGGAGGATATGTGCTGTCTTCCACTTTTCTGGGAGGCTTTGTTGCAGACTGTGTCGCCCGCGCGGGTGAGTTACTACCCTCCGTTTTGGTTCCTTGTCTCGTTTTTCTTTAGCAGGATGTCGCGCGCTATTGGCTCTCATCTGTCCGCGTTGCATTCCAGGGTTGTCGGACAAATCACAACTACAAGTGGAATAAGGATGAAACTAGCAAGTTAGGAGTAGGCTAACATCCCACCTATATAACATTAGTAATGGTTTTTCAGGATAAGTCGGATCTTACATTAAGATCCTTAACAGAACACAAGGGTTAATATAACATCTATTTGCAAAGAAACATTCATCTGCTATGGCTGGTTAGAGCTGTTCAAACTAAACTAAAACGTAAAATCACGCAACGTGAATTAATATCCGTCTACAAATCGGCGGATACTGAGGAACATTAAATTATTCATCTGCTAGAAAGAGGGCAGAAGGCTGTCTGTAGGTTTAAATCACTGTTATCAAGCTGGCTGACTAACAAGCGGCGCACATTTAGAGGAACACAACGACCAGCGTTTAATACCCTTTAAACTTAGAAGAAAAGGACCATCTATTGTCTAAATGCAGCGTTTAGCATTCATAATGTGATTTAGAAAAACAAACCGGCTCCTAGTCAGCTAAACCTCGGCTCACCTCATCTCACAAAAAACAGACAGAAAGGGGAGCCGCGGACTGAGGAGAGGCTGCAGACACACAACAGCCGAGAAAAAGCACTCACCATCGGCCTTACTGGTCTGCAACACACCGGCTGATAACACAGAGACGGTTTATACACTCAGTAGCAGGAGGAGGATATGTGCTGTCTTCCACTTTTCTGGGAGGCTTTGTTGCAGACTGTGTCGCCCGCGCGGGTGAGTTACTACCCTCCGTTTTGGTTCCTTGTCTCGTTTTTCTTTAGCAGGATGTCGCGCGCTATTGGCTCTCATCTGTCCGCGTTGCATTCCAGGGTTGTCGGACAAATCACAACTACAAGTGGAATAAGGATGAAACTAGCAAGTTAGGAGTAGGCTAACATCCCACCTATATAACATTAGTAATGGTTTTTCAGGATAGTATGTTGATTTTTCACGTTCGCCCTAAATCAACAGCTACTGTACATGCTCTTACTAACACTGCACAGATATCTATGCGAACATTGAAACAGGTTTGTCCACAGTGTTACACCATAACATTTAAAAAATAGTTTATACTCCAACTGTAAATTAGGGAATGCAGTAAATTAGGGAATCCGTCGGTATAGAAATAGCATGTCTTTTTTAATGTTTCTTGGTGATCTGTAAACAAAACATCTAAATAAGAAAAAGGATTAGTTGTATTTGGCAATCAGAGAACAATGGTTTGCATTTAAAGACAACACCTGTGTTTGTTTGTTTGTTTTTTTTAGCAGAAATAGTATATATAGATCATCACAGAAAACATACATTTGGATGTCGAATAAGTCTTTTTAATCAAAACTTCACATTTCCATTTGTGAATGAACACTTGAAATCCCTCTCCAACAAACAAATGCATCTTCCTGGAAAATATTTCAAAACCATCGACAGACTAAATGCCACAGAAAGGCACTTCACTAAAACAACCACAAGACAGTACAAGAGTTATATGCGATTTTTACATGTATTTGTGTCACTGTGAATTATCATAGTCAAACAGATTTAAGAGTCAACTCTGTAGACTAAAAAAAGAAAAAAAACCACAAAACACTTGGCAATGATCCCTTAGGAAAAAATAAAGAATCAGGTTTGCAAGCACAAAAGCATGTTAGGAGCTCAGGTAAAAGAAAGAAGACAACATCCACCACACCCTAACTGAAATAGTTTTCTGACAGCAGGATTCATTGCAGCACTATTGTTTGATCCTGTGGACTTACAATAACAGTTTTGATGGTGTATATACAGTGGCTGTCTCTGAGCTCCTCGTGCTGATCTATCAGACAAATGCAACTGAACTCTGGCTACAGGAAGAGGCCCCAACCAACCTGACTGTAGTGTCAGTATACTTTCCATTTATTTAGCATCCACAATACATCCCCCCTGCAGTCATGTGCTTGTGTCAGTCTCTGATATGCTCTGCCACTTGCTTACACACCAGACAAGCTTGTGATGGACCAACTGGTTTCACTGGTCACTATACTGATGCATGTGTTTTGTTTTTTCTTTAGTTGTCCCACCTGCTCTTTCTACGTTTTGGTGGTTCAGGGACAGCAAAATGATCATCTCCTCTGTCCCTCTTCTCGCCACTCCCTTTGTCTCCCCCTTCCCTGTCGCTCCTCCGATCATCTCGGTCCCTCCTGCTTCCATCTCCGTTATGACTGTCGCTGTGGCGGCTGCTGTTGTAGCGATCCCGGTCTCCGAAGCGGTCACGGTCCCTGTCCCCATGGCGATCCCGATCTCCATAACGGTCCTCACCGGTGTGCCGATCGCTTCTTTCGCTGTGGCGGTGGTGACTGTCTCCATGGCGTCCCCGGTCTTCCCCATGTCTGTCCCGTGAGCTGTCTTTCGGTGACAGCGATGCAGGTGGAGGGAAGCTGTGCTGCAAACTGGTTTGACTGGTGGGTACTGAGCTCAGGGTGCCGGCACTGGTGAAGCCAGACAGCGACAAGGTGGCACTGTGGGACCGTTCTGACCCATCTTGAGACTCCGTCGGTATAGAATTCAGGCTGCCGGCGCTGGTCCAGCCTGACGAACCGCTAGACTTCCCGCTGAGCTTTGGAGATCCGCTGGACGCAGCCACAAAGTGACTTTTATACTGAGCCTAGAATAAGGAACATTGAGAAAGAGACAGTCTGGAGTCAAACCAAAGTATGAGAAAACATCGAAGTAGAGTTTTTACTGCATCACACAACATAAAATGACTAAGAGTTTTCTGCAAAGTGGTGATAGAACTGTTCATCCATAATATTATCTGTCTTTGAAAAGTCACTTTACTGCCAGCACTGTCTGGAAATTTCAAGACCCTGTGTTATGAGTGAGTGAATGGCAACACAACACGTCATTCTTAAGCAATTCATTTTGGATTTTCTTTTTGGGCAGAATTTATAATCTAGCAATAGAAAACTGACAAGTCTAAGAAGATGCACAATGAATTTTTTACAAGTCCAGTATTTGCTGCTGGCTAAAATAAATAAAACTTCAGAAGACACATGACAAACACAACTAAAACAAGAATATATAAATTGAAGGCAACAGCATATATGCTGAATCATGCCAAAAATAAAACTGTTTAAATATTTATGTAAACCTAAAAATACTGGTGGCAAAGACAAAATTCTACCTGAAAGGCTTGTTTCATTGCAGACATGCGATCTCCCATTGCACCAGTGGTGGGTTTGCTGTAGCTCTCATAGCTACTAGTGGAAGACAACAAGCTGCCGCGTTCCTGCAGACACAACATAGTGTTACTCACATCCCTCAGCATTTATTACCATCAATCTCCTCTATGTAGAAGAACGTCATTATAAAATGTTAATGCGGTCAGAGAGTCAGTTCAGAGGTTTAGACAGGAATTTTACAGTAATGATTGTGATCATGAAAAGCAGATTTGCAGGCTAGTAATGAGTAACTCACTGAACTTTCAGCCCCCAGGCCTGGTCTCTCTCTGTATCCAAGACCACCGCCACCAATATTGAGCTTCTTTCCTTTACCACTCTTGAATCGAGATTTCCTAAACCATGGATTCTATAAAAACATGTAAACAAAATTAAAAACATTCACTCCAAAAGTTAGTATAAAACCTTTCTGTTTTTTTTCCACTTCACTCTTGCTCACCTGCATGGCTAAATCCATTAGTTCTTTGGAAACACCCTGGTTGGCTCCCTCCAGATTCCTCACAAGGTCACCAGCGAATGATGTGTCTTTGCTGGTGAGAAGAGTGTACGCCACACCTTTCTCTCCAGCACGACCAGTTCGACCAATCCTGTGTGTGTGTGTATCGATGTCTCGGGCCACGTCGTAGTTCACCACTGTGCGAATGGATGGGATGTCCAGACCACGAGCTGGAGAGGAATAAAACCAGAAGTAGATCATCTTAAAGATAGTAAAATTAAAAGCAGATACTATATAACTGTTACTCAGCCCTCAAAATATAGTAGATACACAACAGACTAAATTGTCACCTCATAGAGCAAATGCTTCATTTAAAATGGTATAATGGTATAAAATGGTTATATAGCGCTTTTATGCACTGGCCAAAACGCTTTACTCACCAGCGACATCAGTGGCAACCAGAACGGGCAAATTCTTCTTCTTGAAGTCAGTGATGACCTTGTTCCTCTCACTCTGATCCATGTCTCCATGCAGGAGACCAAGGCTGTATCCCTCCTGTGTCAGGTTAGTAGCCAGTTCCTCACAGTTGGACTTCTTGGTGACAAAGATGAGGACTGAGCCAGTGGAGGTGAACTCGACCAGTCGGCGTGTCAGCCAGCCCCATTTATCTGTTCCGTTGAGCAGTAGCTCCACCACCTGTGTCACATCTTCATTGGCCTGGTCAAAGAGAAAACACAGCATTTTTTCACATTTTAATGACAGCCTAAATTATGTTAAAATACATTTTTCACAGATTCATCTGTGCTTTCCAAATGCTGATCTTCAAATGTAAGATTACTTTAAAATACATGTATCTTTGTGTAGCTACAGCTCTAAGTATAAGTGTGCTGGCAGATGGGGTGCGATGCTACACACCTCTCCGATGTCTCCCTGCACCACACGAATTGGATCTACCAAAATGTCTCTGGCCAGCCTCTCTATCTTCTTTCTAAAAGTAGCGCTGAACAAAAGAGCTGTGAAGGTAACTGTATTCAAAAATTTTAACACTCTCCGAAGCCTTGCTATTTGTGTTTAAAAAAAAAAAAAAAAATTAAAAATAAAAAAAAAAATTGTAAAATGTAAAGACAGTCACTTACTCTGCCTGTCTGGGCGGACATGGCTGGCAATAGATCTAACCTGATATTCTGGAAAGGAAATGATCGTTTAGTGAAAAACACTTACAGTGTAAAAAAGCAAGTTTACAACATCCCTGTTACAGCACTAATTATGCTAACCCACCGAAGCCCATATCAAACATGCGATCTGCCTCATCGAACACCAGGTATGTCACTCTCTGCAGGGATGTGGCCTTCTTCTTAACATGGTCAATCAGACGACCCTGTGCAAACAGGAATTAACGGTCAAGAAAATTCGCATTTACTGCTCAAGTGGAGTGGGAATTTCCTTCACTGGAGCAAGGTTAAAGACAAATGGTCTTCTTTTCTCTTACCGGAGTGCACACTACTATCTCTGCTCCCTCCTGCAGAGCCTTGGCCTGCTCCCACATGCTGCCTCCTCCATAAACCGCCACTGAACGCAACGAGTAGGCTTTCCCAAAACGCTTACATTCAGCATGAATCTGGGAAACATTTAGTGACGCACATTAGCGAACCCAGCCATTTAATACTAGAGCAAATAAAGTCCGACTCATTCCCCTCCTCTTTCTTACCTGCTGACAAAGCTCTCTGGTGGGACACACGATAACCGCGATGGGCCCCTCTCCAGCCTCCAGCTCCTTTTGGTCCATGATATGAACCAGCATGGGCCAGATAAAAGCTGCGGTTTTGCCACTGCCAGTTTTTGCAATACCAATCATGTCACGTCCGGACAGAGCTATGGGAACACCCTAGAACCCAGATTCAGAACCAGGTTTCATCAATTCAAAAACATTTATTATTCCATTATGTGGCAACTTTTAGATAAACTTGCACCATACCTGGCACTGAATTGGTGTAGGCTGGGTGTATTCGGACTTGCGAATCTGGTGCATTAGCTGCTCATCAAAACCGAAGTGGGCAAAGCTGGTACATGGTTTTGGAGGAGCAGCACCAGATACCTGAGAAGCAGAAATCAAGAGACATTCGGAACAATTATGATGACAAAAAGAGTTTACACAAGATGAAGGCTGTTGTCCTCGTCTCCACAGCCACCAACCTGCAAGACAAGCTGCTAAAAATTGAACTGGGGCCATAACAAAGACAGCTGAACCAAAATAATTACTACTTCCACCTCTGGATCGTTTTAGTTACGCAACACTAATGCTGTAGGGTTGTTTGCATGTATCCCCGACTTACCCTCAAGTTCAATTTCTGCCTTAACTCCAGCACCTGAGTTCCAGTCAGGCTGCTGAGCTCCTCGTGCTCATTGTAGAAGTTTTTCTCAAAGGGTGGGTAATCAATCTGTTTGAAAAAGGACATCCAAAATTGCAACAAACAACTACTTATTCCATATGTTAAACACAAAAAAATGCCAATCTGTAGTTGAGACAACATTCTTAGACTGACTGTGTTCAATCAATATGTCAACTGTACCTCAGAGTGGTCAATGGGGGGAAGTGGCATGATGATTTTCTTGGTGGTAGAGGGGATTGGGTTCCCATCACTGTCATAGTCAATGTTCTCCTCCTCTTCCTCTTGGGTCAGCCCAGCTGTGGGATTCTCTGCCATGTAGCGGAAGTAGGCTTCCTGCAAAGAACACATCATTTCATGTGGAAAAACTAAGACGGTTTGCTGCTTCCCAAAGCGTCCAGGTACTAGTAACTCAAAAACACCTGAAGAGACATTCACGTATCTTCAGTTATTTGCGAGTTATAGGTAGGGTTGCAACGTTATGGAATTTTCCCGGTATGATAACCGTCTCAGAATATCACGGTTTCATTACACAATTACTATGATTATCAGCTACAATGACCCTCAAAGAAATGAAAGAAAATGGGTCTTTTTTTAAACTGCAGGTTATTGTGCCAGTTGACTGAGCTGGATTGCAGTACCAGATTTATTACCAAATTATAAACATGATTTTAAACATTTTAAACTACAGCAAGTTATTTTGCATGTTAGACCCAGTAGTAGAGTACTTTTACTTAAGCAAAAGCACTACTATCACACTGTAGTAGACTACTCTGCATTGAAAATGTTAAGTAAAAGTATTATCAGAAAAATGCACTTACAGGTTTAAAAGTAGAAGTAGGTTGCTCAATGCAGAAAAATATTATACTACTATATCCTATACTGTTATACTATTATATATTACAGCCTGTAACTCGTGCATTGATGTAAAATCAGGATTTGACTGTTGTAGTTAGCTGAGGTGGACCTATTTTGTATCCAAGTGCAAATATTGATTATTTTCATTTGGGATTAATCAGCTTTTTATTTTGTCCATTAATCGATTGACTGCTTTGTAAAACTTCTTACAGCAGTGACAAATGCCATCAGAATGCTCTAAACAATTCATTTACTGTAGGCATCTGTACCTTCACTGACACACACACGTGACCCAGGAAAGTTGGTGTGTGTGTTTTTGGTATATCCAAAGTAATCCTGTGAGGCTAATTTTAATTTCTTTTTCGCTGGATGGAGTTTGGTGATGGGCTATCAGCTTCCTTCTCTCTGCTATTAGTCCGCCGCGTACCTGCGTGTTGTGCCCATTGCGGAGTCTGACAGGCAGTCAGGGAAGAAAGGTGAGCATGCATTGCATTTTTTCTTCGATACCATTAATAAGCAAATGTGCATGGTATGATAAGTGTTACTTTTCATACCATAGTATACATAAAATTGGTATACCGCTGCAACCCTAGTTACAGGTACTGACAATCTGATAACTATTCTGCCACTTGCTGACATAAACAAACACATACCTTTTTCGCACTTTCTAAAGCCTTATAACAATGCACACAAGAAAAGTCAGATAAGAGGGGAAGGCAGAGGTATTATAGGATTTGAGAGGGTAGAGAAAATATTGTGCCTGGAGACCTCTCTGATCAGCAGTGTAGTGGATTAAAAACTCTGGAGGGGATCACTCACTTGTTCATCTTCTTCTTCAATGTCATCACGAATACCCCTGAAATGACAAGTGGAGAAAAAAAAAACTTCCCTGCGACTCATTCAAACACCCAAGAGAGCCCACATCCCACTATGACTAAGGTCACTTTGCTTACCTGATGATGTGTATTAAGCCAGCTAAAACATTGCCATATGTGCTATTTTTTGGCAGTAATTGTAGAAACATACAATTTCTGAATAAAGGTAAATTGCTGTTGGTAAATTAAGAGCTTTTTAAAAAGTGAGTAGTACAGGAGTTAAAAGTTAATAATGAAATAATTATAAATTCAGTTGTGGAAAATCCTTTTTTGCTTCTGATCAAATATCAATTTAAGCACCTATATAAAGACCTTAGATGCATCTAATAAATAAATAAAATAAATACAATGTAAAAATGTGAGCACAATGAAGTCTTACTTGGTTGACTTTTTCTCCTTTTCCTTTTCTTCTAGTTTCCTCATGTCTTTCGCTGCTTGGTCCTGGAAGAGGAGAAAACGAGGTTTGTTAGAAAAAACCCCAGCATATTAAGCATTTTGAAACTAATTCTAGTTTGTCTCTGCTTGATTGTAATTCTCTTCTCACCTCAACCTCTGCCATGAAGGCATCAAGTGGGTCATCCTCACTGTCTGAGCCACCGCCACGCTGCATCTGCTGCCGAGTGGGCGAGTTCTCCGCGGGGATGTACGGCAGGTCCACACTGCTGCTGGACTCCTCTTCATCATCTTCAAAATACCTTGTGGACAATGACAAAGATACAGTTTAATATTCATTCAATATATACTTCTCTGCTGTATGTCTCTGGAAGAGATGTAATACTCACGCATTTTCCTCATCAAAATTAGCTCTTTTTGTCCCTATTTTGTAGAATGATGGAAGCTGCTGGCTCTTCCCATATCCCCCACTTGATCCAGTGGCTCCAAATGATGTGTGAGATTTCTGGGGAAGGTGGGATTCTTCTTTTTTCCCTGCAAGGGAAAATCCTCCAAACCCAAATCCTCGCTTCACACCCGAGCCACCTTTGTTCCAGTTCATGACTGTGCTGTGAAAACAAGTGGGGAAACAAGCCTTAGGTCTTAAGACACATTTCTTATTTCCTCAAATCTCAGCACTTATTTGTACCACGGAAACCACTCATTCGACTCTAAATTTGACTTCCGGCCTAAGACATCCCAGGTTTAGCATGGGGGGGTGCAAACCGCATTTGTAATGCACAAAATACCTTAGGTTTTATTCACGGGCCCTCCTCATCCTATCATTAACTAGACCAGCATCAGCTAAAAACATAATTAGCTACATGTCACACATATTTGCCGAAAAGCAATTGTACATATGGTTCTGCAGGAATATAAGGCTGAGAAACGGACGCAATCACATTAACACAAAGCTAGTTAGCTATTTGATAAATACAGTGGTAACGTGGCAAAACAATTCAGCAGTGGGGTTCAGCTGCTGTCTCGGTGCAGCTACTTTGCGTGATCTTACAGCAATTTCATAACAACAGAACACTGAAGATCATTTATGTACAGATATACTTAACGTTAGCGCTAGCTCAAGGCCGCAAACTGAGGCCGAGACGGGAGCGTGCCAGCTTATTTGCCGTGAATGTGACTTAATTAGGGTACCTGTCACAACCCTGTGCAATATACGAAAACATATTTATTTGACCTAAGGTGCCAATAGTTTTCTAACTGTCACGAATAAGGTGCATTTACCTGTTTCTGATGCTTGTATAAGCTCCTGTTTTTATTTTCAGTAGAAGACGCTGTGCCTACGTCATCAGTGCGCGCAAGATTTTTCGGGGGGCGTGTCGTCGGTTGAACGCGACAAGATGCGCAGCCGACAAAGCGTGGTGTGTTGCTGTCAAAAGCATCCTGCTGGAGAAGATGCCTAGCTAAATAAGTTATCGTAAAATAAAGGCTAGGACTCAATTCAGATATTGCTTTTCGAACATTATATAGGTAAGTTAAAATAGGTCAAGATAACGGCTTTAACTAACAATAATTTCCTGTTTTTAGTCTGCGCCCTCCGTCATTGCAATATTAGCGAGCCATTAGCAGGAGCTCTTCTTGTGACGAATCTGCTATTATTTAACTTGGCGACTTATTTCTTGTTCAAACTGCTTCATTTACTATCGTTGAAAGACAGCATATTTGTGTTTGTATAATAACCTGTGACAGAATTCTTGAGTATAGCATTGATATTGGTCGCAATAGACAAAATGCAAGTGACTTTTGATTTCTTTTTTTATTTATTGGTTTATTATGTAACTTGGATAATGGACATTAATAAATATTGCTGTGAATGTGTCATATTAAATCAAGATTATATTTGTTCATCTGTAGCCCCCAGAGAGACGTCTAAAAAGTCACCCTTAACACAGAATGTACGTTTAAAATTACAGTAGCCTGTTGAGATTATTTATGAGCATGCGGAACAGTAATAAAAAAGAAGAGAATTATAATGTTAGTAGGCGATTAAGGCAATAAAATGGGAGTTAACGTTAATAAAATATTAACTAGATAAGACAACATTGTTCTGCATTATTTAACGCTAGTTGAAACATGCAAAGTTGAAACACGGGCATCAAAATGAGTTGCTACATATTCCACTCTAGCCCTCATCAGACACTTCTTTCTTTTCACAGATATCCCCTGGATGTATTTTCACTATCATATGTAACACACTCAAGAGGATCCATGTCTTTTCTTGTAAGTGTTTGCATATTTTATACAGTTTACAAGACCAGTCCAGATAAGGCTCAAATCTCATGGTCGACCTAATATTAAAACTGTGGTACTTGTGTGTTTTCATTGGATATTTCCATTGAAGTTTATTTGGTCCAGGAGAAGGCTGAATCCCTGTAAGGGAAATTGCCTTGACAGCTTTCACTGTAAGCAGCCACACACTATAGTTGTCATAGAAAGGCATTCATTTACCATTTTATACAGAGACCAGTTTGCCTATTCACCCAGCACACGAAAGGATGCATGACATTGCTAAGCTTTTGTTAATGGAGTTTTCCATGACTTTCCCTTTATCACAAGAGACAGAAACCTTTTATAGCTGTAAAATATGTCCTCAGCATGAACTGTCTTCATTTAACAGCTTTAAATATGTTTATATTACTGTTGAACCTTTCCTTATTCTTGCTTGCATTTTGTCTCCTTTTCTCCATGTCTGTTATTAACCCTGTGTCTATCAGCGTTGGGTATCTGAAAAATTGAGTGTGGAGAGCCTGCGGGATTTGGAGTTATTTGGAGGTGAGGTTCAAGGCAAATCAACTTACAAACAAAAGGATTCAATATTCCCAAACCACCACTAACACACTATATTCAATTCTAGGCTTTGCTCTAAGTGAGTAGTTGCTTTGCTTGCATTACAATTCTGAAAGTTTTCCATTGGTCAGTCACTCATCTGTTACTTGTCTTGAGCGCTATTGCAGCACTGTTTCTGTTTGCGACAGTAATTTAGCAGAGGATGGCACAAACAAAATCATATTTCAATTAATGTTTCTTGTGGCCATGTCACATACAAAAACGCTGTGTCATGTTATTCAATGCTTCTTGTGACTTATATTAGTCTCGTGTTTATTTTGAGTGTACTGTAATTGTGTACTTGTTTTTGCCTATCACATATTTGTCCTTGTATGTAAATTTAACTTTATCTCTCTTGTGTCGCCAAGTGCTTGCTCAAGGGGGATTTGCTGGGTTTTTCCTCTATTATAATAATAATAATAATAATAATAGTAAGGTCACTTTTGTTGTGATTTGGCGTTATACAGATAAAACTGAATCGAATTAAAGTAAATGTAACAGATTTGCCTTGTTGGGCAATTAAATGTGACTTTAATAAGAACTTCTGGTACTTGAGACACAAGTAGACACAACAAAGCCATGCCAAGCTTTGAGATAGCATTTAGTTTTTAGCCAGTATGTGCTGGTTTACAGGCTTTAGTGTTGCACTCATGCTATAATGAAAATGCTATTACTATGAGGTGATATATTGGAAAACCTTTCACATAATGCAAATAGTAAATGCATGTTTTTGTGTGGGGTTGTGTATCTCTTGGTATCAAGGTTTGCAGAACAGTAGCCCAAGAAGAAGCCAAATAAGTCAGCTACATGTATGCACACAATAATATAACATACACAAGGTATATAAAGTAAGCACTAAAGGATTGGAACAAGGAAGACAATTGGTTTGATCCTTCCCAGTAGATATGGTGAATGAATGGCTTTGCTTGGGGGTTATTTGTGATATTTTTTGAGGGTGTTCCTGTTTTGCAGTATCATTTAAGTCTGCACATGTAATTCGGGTTATTTAATTGGTGATTCAAGAATCATTCATAGTATTATCAACTGGCTGCATGATCCACAGTATCACACCCCAGAGAGTTTGATACACCGGACTCTCTCTGTCTTAACCAGAATATCAGACCCACTCACTCTTGAGTGTACCTCCTTTCTGCCCACCTGACATGTGTACATATATCAGTTGCATCATTAAGTGCCGAAATAGTGTGATGAGTGTGTTGGAAGAGATGGAATAACAAACACTCCCAACCTTTTAATTTTAGCCTGGAGTATTAAGCAATATAATTTGGCAACAGTAGCAACATGAGTGAATATTAGTTGATGGTAGTTTAAAGATACGTTGGGGCTTAGTTCTGATGTTTCCGATTTTGTGCGCCTGTCCTACAGACAGCTCAGGACAAATCAGCGGTCTTAATGTAATGAAGGTCAGATTGGAAATAATTAACTAATTAATTTATACAGAGCTGCTTCTCTAAATGACTCATTACTTCTACACTTCATCACTACTACAAAATTACTTGTTCAATCCTCATATTTTTCAAATGAGATGAGAAAGGTTCTTATTGACTTAAAACCTTTTTGCTTTTCTCAGCAGTCTGTGATCTGAACTATCCACCCTCCAGACATAAATCTCTAAAGTAAGACTGGTGGGCTAATGATGGATTGTATATTTAGAAAAGTATGCAAAAATAATTACTGTTTCTTCTTCTTGTTCAAGACCAAACAAGCAGAATCTTGAGAAAATACATTTTCCTGAAATCATAAGAAAAATGCCCCAAGGATTGAAAATTAGAGTGCTTTTACCATCTGTGTTATTTTTTGGACTGGAACATATGAACTGTTGTAAGTAGATATGTTGCCTAAATGGCTAAACCACATTAATTCCTCACTGTGACTGATGACAGTGGCTTTGATGTTTTCGGGAGGTAATATTTCATGCAGTCACATTAAGACCTGATAGAAAATATTGCTTTGATAAGAGATAGTTGTACTTTACTGTATGTCAAAGTGGAGTGAAAAGGTTATTTTCAGGACTTGTATTTGAGTTTTGAGTCATAAGCATAAACTAAAAAACGATGGATATGCTGACAGCTCCAGGAGTGCAGCCACCAAAAGTCGATCACGAACTTGGCGGTCCGATGCTGTCACTCCACTTCTGGTTGCTACTGCGCCGAATCTGGTTGCAAACAGGCAAGATTCACAATATTTTGGCTTCATTTTTGCATAGTGGAGGGAAGTGGTGACACCACGTCCATTGTATACTGTATATGTCAAAGGTCATAACTGAAGGGTGATTGTGGCCTGAAGCTAAAAGCAGCATGTTGGTAGCTGTGTGTTGGTGGTTTGTTTATTTTTCCAAATGCCATGTTTCTCCGCATTAAAAATCTGTAATTTTTGGCACATTATTGAAGTTTTTATGTTCTGGGCTAGATTATGTAATTATTTCTTTCTTTGCAAACTTTGCCTCATTTTCCATCTGGCTGATCACTGGTCAGTGTTGCCTGTTTGTTCAGGTGTATCATTTGTGTTTTTAGGCTGTGATGTGCTCCAGTTGTTTTTACATAATATATAGGGGCTCATGAGGTAGAGTGGGTCATCTCCTAACCAGAGGGTTAGCGGTTCAATTCCCGGCTTGTCTGGTTCATATGTCGAAGTGTCCTTGAGCAAGACACTGAACCCCCAGTTGCTCCCGGTGTGTGAATGTATGAGTGCTTGAGAGTGCAAATGGATGAATGGCCAAATAGTGTGAAAGCGCTTTGAGTGTGCTGCAATGCATAGAAAAGTGCTGTACAAGTATAAGACCATAATATATGGAAACAACCTGCAAAGTTTAGCTAAATAGTTTTTCTTTCCCCCCCATTTGCTTTTAAATTAATAGTCTTTTAGTGCAGATATAAGCACTTTTGCAACTTGGGTGAGAATTAATTTTTGCTGTTGCAGTGCATTTTCAGTTTTATTGTATTCCCACAAGTTATCATGAAAACTGTGTGTATTGATAATGGTGCGTCACTTTGTCGGCTGAAGGACAAAGTTGCTAGGAAACAGTAAAAGCAGCAAAGGTCATGATGAAATTCTTCAACACGCAGCAACCCCTCACTATCAGAGGCTGCACTTCCCAGTTCAAGAGCCGCTCTAAACCCAGATTTTTCTCTTGTTTTGTGTGTGTACGTGTGTTTATGTCATTGATGTGGTTTTTCTATCCCAGAGCAGGCTCAGGGACACTCTCACAGGAAAGTAAGTGTGGTACTCCTGTCACTGCATTGTCATCACCCATTTAAAGTACCTTATGTGTATGTGCGTGCATGCATGTGTATGTGCGCACACATGCAAAGGAATGCACAAACCCCCAAAACTTTGCACATTTACTGTATGTATGCATGAGTGTTCGGTTCATGACACATGCTATACATGCTTGTAGCTTAAGCAGGCATTTCACCTCACTCACCAGGGCTTCTGTTGGGGAATAAAGGGAACTGGTAGAGTGTTTTGTGAAAGAAAATAATGCGTTTGTGCAGCCTGTCTGAATGGTCCAGTCTGAGATTTCGGTGTGTTAACATACTGTGCTCCAGGTAACTACTTCGTTTTGATTTTTGGTGTCTTTTTCTACTCCATCTAAAAGTCTTGACTAATTTTGTCTCAGAACATTTTGTGCTATGAATATTTGCCATTTGACACTGCCTGTTTGTGCCGTCAGTCCTTTGTTGAGTTGGTGGTGAACTGATACGTTGTCACGCTTCGATGTCTGCCACTGTGCGCCTGTGGGCTGCAGATGGATGGAGTACCATGTGTTCAGCTTTTGCAATGCATGGCAACCCCTTTTGAATCTGATCACAATAGCAGTTTGCATAACAAGCCATGTGATCAGATCAACAAATGTTCACTTAAATGATGGCAGCTGTAGCATGACTGACCTTGCTGTCATGCCGAATTTAATGTAAAGTTTGTATGTATGGCAGAAGGTGCCGTCCACACATGGAGTAACTCTTGTATTTATCTGTGAGGATATTTTCAGAGTTGTGTGTGTATGTGTGTCTCTGATCTTGATCTTGAAGTAATCTCCGGCTTATAGGATACAATTGCACACACAGATGTGCACTTTTCTAATTTTGAATGTGTGTCTTCTTCATTCTGGTCACCATGGAAATGGTCCAAATAATGATACAGCTTGCCTTCATTTGCCTCCAGAGCTTGCTGCTGTAATCTGTCCATCTCCATCATTTGAATAGCAATAAAGTGATGGAATCAGGAGTCCTCACTGCCAAGAGTGTTCACCTTCTCTACATGTGTCTGCACATGTAAAGTCTAACATATGTTAAAGCAGGAAGAAATAGACAATACGTGATGCTGTATTTATGTGGTATTCTATTGCTACACAATATTGTGAAAACTGAAAAAACACATTGTTTCACAAATACTGTTATAGGTCATAAAAAAAACCTACACAGTCTTATGTTGAGCGGATCCATACATGGAATGTTCTTCAATCGCTTGATCTGCTGTAGATAATTGGATAATTGCTGGTGAAGACTTGAGTGCCAGTAACTAGTTCCTGTTGTTTTTCCTTTGTTTAGTGCCATGGGACATGCTAACACATCTTGATAACGCACCTGTTCTTTGGTGATGTTTGGACAGATATCACACATATGATTCTGATAGCCACTCATAGGCCCATTGGCACTGGTCTTGCACTGGAACAAGTGAGGTCGGTGTCACATCCAATCTTGATTCACTCTGGTCTTTCTCCTCTGCCTTCAGGCCCATGAGGACAGTCAGGAGAGTCTGACCTCCCTCCCACATCGGGACACCATGGGCAGTTTCCTCCCTGACAGCAACTCGTACGAGCTCCTCACCATTATCGGTCAGTGAAAGCAGACACGTACCTGGACTTGGCTGCTTACGTTGATTACGAAAAACACAAAATACACTCAGTTTTCTTTTATTAGCGCTAAACTATTAGAAGTTGTTGTGGCTGAAGTGTGTGTGGTCCCTTGTCAGGTATTGTTTTTAGAAAACAGCTTCACTGCATCATTATATAAAATACACAGAAAGCAAAGTCCTGAATACAAATTAGGTTTTAGGTGAATGGTATACAAATGCTAAAAATGTTCTCATATTTTGCAATGCAGGTTTTGCACTGCAGTTAAACAGCACTAGTGCCAACCTATGCATTTGTTTGGTATTTTACATCTTTACAATACAAATACTGAAAAAACAAGGATACTTATTGAACAGTCACATGAATTTTTTTTTTTTTTTTTAACGAAGTCTATGTTTGTTTTAGGTCGGGGCCTGGATGACCTGATGACAGTGAACCTGGCTCGATACAGACCCACTGGCGAGCACGTAGCTATCCGACGGATTGACTTGGAGTTGTGCACTAATGATATGGTCACCTACCTGCAGGTCTGCATCAGTCTGCCGTCCTCCTCCGATCCCATCCATCTGCATGACTCAGCTCTCTTGTAGTCTTATCAGCTGTTAGTGGATATAGTTCTGTTTTTTTTTTGTTTTTTTTTTAATCTCACTGCTTCATTGGGAAGATGCCCTCCTAAGTAAATTCAGTCATCTTCTCTCCTCTGCCTGTCAAATAGATGTAATAAGACATGCTTCCTTTCCTCTGCCTCCCAGGGTGAACTACATGTGTCAAAGTTGTTTCACCACCCTAGTATTCTACCCTACAAGAGTGTCTTCATAGCTGAAAATGAGCTGTGGGTCATCACCCCCTTCATGGCTTATGGTGAGGAGTGGACTTCTATAAACTTACATATCAAGTGATTATACTTAGTATATCTTTTTTAATATTTAAAAGAAGCCAGTACTATAAGATCTTTCTCACCACAAGCATCTGTGTTTGATGATTTTTCCAGGCTCAGCCAGAGATCTCATTTGCACACATTTTACCGATGGTATGGTTGAGCTGACCATCGCATACATTTTGCTAGGCATGCTCAAAGCTCTTGAATACATCCATCACATGGGATACGTCCACCGGTAAGATGAACTTCTACATTGGGTTAGAGGTTTTGAAGGCAGGCACTTTGTGATCTGCTGTTCATTATTTCTTTTTTTGGGGGGCCTATACTTCCATTGGGTTTTAATAAATTGACAGTCTTGATCAACTTAATACTGTTTACCTTACTTGTAAATACAGGTCAACATGATATTTAATGTTGTCTGGTTATGTGTAGGAGTGTGAAGGCCAGCCATGTGTTGATCTCAGCAGATGGCCAGGTCTGCATGTCAGGTCTGCGCAGCATCTTCAGCCTGATTCGTCACGGGCAGAGGGCCAAAGTGGTTCACGACTTCCCCCAGTACGGTGTCAAGGTGCTACCCTGGCTCAGCCCTGAGGTGCTGCAGCAGGTACCGCATTCCTACATACTGCAGCATTAACGGGTCATGAAAAGAGAGATAATGTCAGTAACAGATCATTTCATATGTGAATTATTTTTCTCAGAACCTGCAGGGCTATGACTCTCGGTCAGACATCTACAGCCTCGGCATCACAGCCTGTGAACTGGCAAACGGACATGTGCCCTTCAAAGACATGCCAGCTACGCAGGTGCACAGGGACACATCAGCTCCTTACCTGCTCTTCTGCATGATGTCATCAATATGTAGCCTGTCATTTAGCGACAAATAAGAAAATGGGGTACACTATATCATCTCCAGTTGATCGATTGAGGAGAAAAAAAAAAAAAGAATGCTCCATTGGTCAGTTTCTGAAAATTATTTTAGTTTGCACCTACACTAAAGAGGAGGGGTAGAAGTCAGTTAGAAAATGGTTTAAAGGACCAACAGTAACTAAATCCCAGAGGTAGGTGATCCAATACTTTCTACTGCTTCACTTCCACAGATGCTGCTGGAGAAGTTAAATGGGACAGTGCCCTGTTTGCTGGATACCACCACTGTTCCACCAGAGGAGCTATCCATGAAACCATCTCGATCCGGTGCTGACTCTGGGATCTGCGAGGGCCCTGGAGCTGGAGGGGTGAGACACTCGAACGGCGAACCTTCCTCTTCATCAGCAGGACACCCCTACAACCGGACGTTCTCCCCAGACTTTCACGCCTTTGTTGAGCTGTGCCTACAGCGAGACCCAGAAAAGAGGTTGGTGTTTCTCTTCCTGCATGCTTCAGTATTGTATGGGACATGTTACAGAAATATTATGGTTCAAGATGCTAATTTTTCCCTCTTTATTTTCTGTCAGACCATCTGCCACCACTCTCATAGGCCACCCCTTCTTCAAACAGGTGTGTAAATTATCAGACACGATCACTTATTAAATCAGTTGTAATTGTTTTGTTATTGATTTGTCACCTTAGTTGTCTTCCTAGCTTGGTAACTAAAAAGACGTCTGTTATATATACATCCTCTAAATTCCACTCTCTGGGATACAACCAAGGTGTGTGGGGGTGTTCTTAAGTGACTTTCTGAATGTGGCTCACCATGCCACCACTCAAGAAATGTGGGAGAAAAAAAAGATGCAACTTTGTTAATTATAATGTGGAGGATAAATTGAAATCATAAAATTAAAGACTGTCCTCCAGCTGTTTTATTTTTTCCTGCTCTCAGATCAAACTGCGGCCCTCGGAGGCATTGCCTGAGTTGCTACGGCCCGTGTCCCCCATCACCAGCTTTGAGACCTCCAAGCCGCAGGACTCTCCCTCTGGGCTGGCCAGTCTGGAGTCGGGTCTCAGCCAGCTGGAGGTCGATGACTGGGATTTCTGACTGTGAGCAACTTGGTGGAGAGACGCTCATAGGAGCCTGACGGGAATCTCTCTGAAGAGACAGGATGACATTTCCTTTTGTAATGGCTCCCTTGTAAATAGTACAAATCTCAAACTAAAAGGAGTCATTGTTCTCAGAGTTTAAAAGCCAGCAACCATCTTGCCTGTTTTCTCTTACACCCTTTTTTCCTCCAGATATGGACAGACTCTGCACTGCACTGATGGCCTTTCCACACACACACACCTCACAGATTGTTCTTATACATAACAAGCTCCCTGCAGCCAAAATCCAAAAAATCTCTGTTCCTCATGCTGTTGCTCAGGTGTCAGAGGAGGCTGTATGGATGTAGACGTAGACGAAAAGTAAAGATTATCATGAAATGGATTAGTCAGAACCTGCTGCTAATATTCAGAGGGGACTCTCTACCTCTTGTTGGAACTTGCTCAGTTAGCCCTCCACACCAGATGGAAGGTTTCAGCTTTGTTACAAGGGCCAACTAAATTAGTATGTACATGCATTTCTTAGCTCTCTAACCCTGTTACAGTGTAAACTACATCTCATGCTTTACACATCACTTTTGTTGAGCACAGATTAAGTATAACATCTGTTAACTACAGAGCATAAAGGCATGTATTACCTTGATCTTACTCTGGGCAGAATGTTACTTATGTCATAAGTGAATGTTACATTGGTGCTTGTTGTGTCTGCATGTATTTGAAAGTGAGAACAAAGCAAAGTGTTGCAAATGTCAAGTTTGACTTTTTAACAATAAACATTATTTGCTTCAGTGTTTTAACTTTGATGTATCACACAGTGAGGCGGTTACAGATCTAAAAAGGTTATTTTATTCAAAATTGACACAAAAATAACGTAAAGGTTGAAAAGGTTCGCATGTTGCTAATCTTCCTCTTCTGATGGTGGCTGGTCTGTTGCAGCGTGATGTTTTTCCATCTTGGCCATCAACTCTGGAAAAGGACAACAACAGGAAACATGACTGAGGGGAATTCTCATCACATGCTGTAAATATCTTTAAAATCATTTATTGTCATGGTTCTCAAAAGTCCCCTCTCACCTTTAGCAGGGTTAAAGACACCGTTAGTTTGAGTGTTGCACACATAGCAGCGCTTGGACTTGCGGTAATGCTGAAGAGCACAGGCCTCACAAAAATAGTGCCTGCACCTGGCGACATTTGACAGGTTAACACGTTGCAACTTGGAATGAACAAGACTTTGCACTATGAAGAAGCTTACTTTGTGATAATGGGATTCTTAAAGGATTCCCTGCAGATGAAGCACTTAAAGGGCAAGTCCTCTTCATCACTGTTCACCTCGTAGTTCTCATCATCTTAAATTAAAGTACAAACATTGTTCAGGAAATGCTAATGCGGGCACAAAACACTGACATGCAGTCAAGGAACTTACAGCTGTCTAAAAGCAGGCGACAAGAACATTAAAGTAAATGGTCATGATTAAAAATAAGTTCACTTCAAGTTAGTTATTCAAAAGAAAACATCCACCTCCAAAACCACAGAAACCGGTCTCTTTGTAGTCTTTGCAAATGTCGGGCTGGTAGTCCCACCTAACTGTGGCTCTGAGGTGTTCAGGGGCTCGGATTGGTCCTTTTCTGTGAAAAGGTTGGAGAAAATTTCATTTATCATTAGTAATAAATGATTCTGTTAGCATTCATAGATGAAGAATGCCTTATAAAAGCATGTGAGCAAGCATACAATGAATGTTTCAGCTTAGTACGCACCTGACCATGCCAGAGGAGGCATTGCCCATGGTGGTATCTTTGGGCTTGATGAATTTTTGGTAATTGTTGATGCCACGGTAGATTCTGTCATCTTCTTTACCTGTTAGCTCCTTTTGAAGCAGAAAAAGGGTTAATCCGGTAGGAAGGAGGAAACTTCAAAATTATTTGGCAGAGAAGCTGCATAATTTAACATTTGTGCAAAGCTGGTGAGAAAAATGCAATTAACAATTTGACATTTAATATATGACTTGTGGGAGTTATACAACATTTATAACTCGTGGAACTCTGAGCCACTAGTACTGTGTATTTAACTAACGTATATTGAAATGTACACAGAAACAGTTCAGAAATGCTTCTTAAATAGAAGCTTTCTGCAAAACTGTGGCATTAGAGTAACATCATGTAATCCACTACCTCTTGGATTTTCTGACTTCTCTCAAAGATGGCCTGAGCGTCCTTGTCCCTCTCTGTGTCCAGCTGATATGTAGCAGTGGCGCCCATGTCTTCTGGTCCTTCTGGTTTCTTTTTTGGACAAGATTAATGAATAGTGGAGAGTGAGAAAGACTTCTCAGTTACTCCCATTAAGCCAAGATATTGTGGCTTAACAACAAAGTGACATGCTTCTGATTTACTTTTCCTGACCAGAGAGTTTAAACCATCCTCCCTACAACCACAACCAAATGTGATATGGATGAAAAGTCTCAACTTACTGCCGACCGTGTGGACTTATAGGCAACTGTGATCTTCTTGTCTTCTTTGTCATCTTCACTTTCACTGGACGATACAGCATCTCTTTCCACTTTCTTTGTCTGGACAGGAATGGAAGAAGAGTCAGACTCACCTAATCATTGTCAATGACACACAACGAACATGAATTTTAAAATACTATAATTATTATAGTACTCTTTGAATCATAGGGTTGACTCCAGTGTCCTTCTTTTCTCTTCTGACCACAGTGCTCTGGTCTTCGTCATTGCTGCCATCTGGGGGAAAAAGTTGCATGCTTACTTTTTGCATCTTCTCTTTAAGTAAGAAATAGCTCACAAGCTGTAAACCTCACATGGGCTGACACCTGACACATGGGCTGACACCTGACAGTACATCTGCCAATTTCTGTATTATTAAGATATCAAGCGGCATCTGAATAAACAGGGAAAAGGGAGGATGCAGGATGGTCAAAAGTAATATCCTTCCAAATTCCGAGGGCGCATAAACGCAGCACAAATAAGTGCGCTGGTTTAAACAGTGATAACAGTATTTCACAACCTGCCCACAGTTCTCGTCCTTTGTAACACACTTGGCTTTTATCGTGTAAATATTACTGTAAGAGTTGAAGGCAGGGATACAAGAACAAACACTTGATAGTTAAGACCATAGCGGTTAGGCCCGCTGACAAAGCGTTACCAACACACGGTTTTATGATGGCAGTAAAACACCAGAAATATTAGCTAAATCAGTTATTATTACCTTTATCGCTATCGCTTGCTTTCCTCTTCCGCCCGGAGAATTTCTTTGTAGATTTTTTGAATAGAAAAGTGCAAGACCCAGCTTTTGGACCTTCTGACTCCGCCATCTTGTCGCTACTATATAAATAACGGCCCGCACGACAGCGCCCCCTGTTGTCCCGGAGCAAAATATAATACAACTGTAGCCTGTAATAATAAACATTTAAATACATTTATTATAATTATTAAATAATTAAAATAAAGCACAATTTAAAAATATCAAATGCATCTATTTCCTGTTTTTTTAATCAAAACAAAAATGCACACCGACTTAAGAAAGAACGAAGTTGTCTTAATTTTTGAATATTACTGTATATTTCCCTAACAGATTAAAAAAATGTTAGGCTCCACACTTATCATCACTGCTGTTAGTGTACGCATTTAATAAGACGGGTAGGATTTAAAAACGTATTTACACACTGAAAGCTACCTACCAATTTACAAAAGTAGAATGCGTTAAGGTATCATTTCCACTAAAAGTGCAGGACGTGCGCGAAATAAATGATAGAAATGGGGGAGATGAGATAAAACCATGATTATTCGGCCATCAAACCGGAAAAGGGGGGGCAGAGAGAGGGAGAGAGAGAGAGAGAGAAAGAGAGAGGATATTATTGCGAAAATATACACCGGAAGATGTGCATTTGATCGTGTCTAACTTGACTATGGTCAACTCTGTCCTGTCCTCCTCCTCCTCCTCCTCCTCCTCCTCCCCCTCCGTCTCTAACAGCAGCATCCCTGGCTCCTCGCAAAGAACAGCGGGTGTTTGTAAGACTCAGTATACGCAAAGGGAGGGGTCCTGGCCTGGGCGCGGATGCCGAAGAGGCCCCGGGGCCGCCGCTGGATGGAGCCGGGCTGCATACACACAGCAATGGCTATGGGTCTGACATCGAAAAAGGCGTCTGCTCGGAGCGTCGGCGTGGAGCGAAAAAACCTCATCACGGTTTGCAGGTAGAGGCTACATCACGCCACTGGCGTCATACTCTATTTGTCTGCAATTTACCTGCCCCTGTGGGTTGTTGAGTTCATAAATTTGACAATATGACTACAATGGAGGATATTTGTTTAAAACTGTCATTCCTGCGGTGATTAAACAATGGCATCAGGACACTAAACAGATGGAAAATAATGCAGAGAAACTGACACATTTCTGGAAAGCCTGAGTGGACACAGGTGCATTTTCACCTTCACATGCCCCTAGGAACCTAGATAGCTACTTTCTTATGCTTTTAACAGGTTGAGACACCTGCTTGATGCAGGTAAATTCAGCTTTAGATAATATATACACAGGAATAGTGGGCCTGACTTCATTCTGAGAACAGAGGTAGAGAGAAAATGAAACAGCCAACAGCAGGTTTCCTCCTCCATCACAGTCAGTTTGAGTGTCAGTATGGGACAAGGGCATAGGGAGCAGTGCAAGGACTCCCCCCCCATCAGTGGCCCTCAGCCTGCACAGTAGACTGGGCCCTGATGGGCTGTGATGTGCAGTCTTTTTATGGCTCATATAAATCACTGTCTTGTTCAGTGTTCAGAGAATTTAGGGCCATAAACTCCAGTACCTTCCATCAGTTTATCTGTCTGAGCTGAGAGGAGCTTTAACACACCTGATGAGAGGCCTTCCTTTCACAAAATGCCCCGAATTGTGCCCCATGTAGTTCAGACACTGACCCATGTTGGATTTGGTGTTTAAACAGTGCAGGGTTAGGAACGAGGCTGGTTTTAAAGTGACATTATATTGTCATTTTTATATATGCAGTTGACCTTTAAGGCTTGTGTAATATCTTGTGTAACATAGAATGATCGAATTTCATATAGTTTCTAACCTTTGTGGCTTATGAGCCCCCTAAAATGATAAAGAGTCTCAAATCACACATTAAAGTGCTGATGTTGACATGGTTGGTGAGTAGTTTCATCAAAGAGGGACTTTTTTATTTCTTCTTGTTTCGCTTAAAATATTTTTAGGGGTAAAGTATCTAGTATTTCAAAAGAAAACACAAGAATTAGAGTAAATTCAGAAAACAAAAGTTAACCAAAGAGAAACATGTTTTTCTTTTTTTTTTGCTACGTTAATCCTTTACCCCTCAGGTTAGGACCCCTGACCAAAATATTCTCTGTGAAGCTTCATATAGTTAAGCTTATAACCTCTATAATATTGCCAATATGATATAAGTCTGTCACACAGTCAAATTCCCCCAAGGTTATCAAGTTTTGTTGTTGTTGTTTTTTTTTTGTTTGTTTTTTTTTATACATATTTTGGGACTAAACTGCCTCTAAAGGACTCAGTGTGATAATCTTTACATACTTCATGGTGTTTTGTTCTTGTTCCTCAACAGGCAATACATATATTTTATACATACATTAATGTTTTTCACTGACTATCCTATAGTTTATAGTTTTACTATAGTAGTATTCTAGTATTCATCAACAAGTGAAGAAGCATCTACCACCATCCAGTACAATGCAAACCTTATTTTTTCCAAACACAGCTAACACCAAAATGTTTATGACCATACTGTTTATTTAATTTTCCTAGGCCAAATAATGTCTGCATCTATAAAATGTAATAATAATAATAATAATAATAATAATAATAATAATAATAGTTATAGTAACCTTATCTACTTTATTGTATTATTGTTTTGAGCTTTGCTTTGATAGTTTTGTAGTTCTCTCATAAATCAAAACATTACTATTGTTCTTGTCATAAATGTTATTGTAGGGTCCTAATGATTTTTTAATTTTAAATTTTTTATTATTTAATGAATTTTTTTTTTATTATTTAATAGGAGTTTGCATGTTCTCCTTGTGCTTGCGTGGGTTCTCTCCGGGCACTCTGGCTTCCTCCCACAGTCCAAAGACATGCAGCTTAGGTTGATTGGTGTCTCTAAATTGCCC